AAATATAGCTTTCGTAAGTTAGGTAAATGTACTATTTTGTTGGATCTTACTCGTGGACACAAAAATTTTGCTACAATTTACAAATATAGAAAACTACATTTGCGTTCGCGTGTCATTGTTCAGTGGAAATATATAGACATTTACAATATCAATCTCTTAGCATTCCTTGAATAATATGACACTGCATTGTGTTTACTATTTTCAAAAAGAACTGTGTCTATTTCTATCTTTATTCTGTTATAAATTTGTACGATTTTATATTTTTTTGGAATTTCTAAGCAAATTTGTATTAATTAGCAAGTAAGAAAAAGTTCAATTTTACTTTACCCTGTAGGCAGATAGTTTTTTTTACATAGTATAATATATACTTGGTACATGGAACGTTATTATGGATATTCTTTCTCAATGTTCATATGTTGCATTAGAAACTAGATTAACCATCGAAACTTAATTAATACACATAACATGTACCTATTGAGTACAGAGGTTACAAATACTAAATAATAACTTAGGAATGTTACATAAAATGCAACTATAACATGTATTTAACAAAATGTGCATGCAAATAAAGCATTATTTAAAAACATAACTACAATGTAAATAATATGACTAGTTCACGCAATCGATACTCGATTCAGTAAGATTCACCAAAATTCGGAATGAATTTTACAAATAAAGAAAAAACATTTCCAAATATTATATATTAATAAATCATTATTTTTATCACATTATTAAATAAAAATCTATAAATGACTAAAATTTCATGATCAGTAATATCAATAATAATTAACGATTTCTTATAAAATAATAAAAAGAAATTGAGATCGAAATATCGACACATTGTAATTCAGCTTATTGTACTAATATTAATACTGATTTAGCTTAGCATTTATAAGTTAGACGACATGATTCAGTTGAAAGTAACGGGGTTTAGCTAAACAATATGAAATATCATTACAAAAATATTCACAATCAATTATAGGTAATCACTACAATAATTACATTATAAAAACTCATAATAGGATATAGCTGCAATTACAAACATTTCATTTACAAAAGCACTCCTCATATAATTGAATACAACACATTAAGAGCCCTTTTACAAAATTGCGCTCCTGCAGTACTTATCGGCGCGTCGGTAGATTTGCACTAGTATATATTGCATTTTACGGGTGATGATTCGAGTCTTATAAAATAATTATTCATTAACTAATTATAAAAATATATACATATTTCAGTAATTCAATGATGGTAGATTAGTTTTATGAAAGTTTTTGACAGTAATTCTATTTAATTCAATACCGTAAGTGAGGGTTACTTTAGCTCGGGCGGGTAACTTAGTCCCAAATCAGAAAAAATATTGAACTTGCCGCCCCATCAGTATCTCTTGGGTGACCGTAATAGTTCCAGTTGAAAATCACAGATAGCCATATAGGCGCGTAGTGTGGTGTTGTTTTACCGACATTGTTCCTGTATCAAGTTGTCATTGTAACGCGGGATTTTTTGCAACTGAAATAGTTCGCAAGTTCATGCGCAAACTTTCCTAAAACTGTTGTTTTCGGTAAGTTTACTATTTTTTTCTAAATTTAAAGTTATATTTTTATTTAACTTAATTATTTTTGGGCAATAACATCCATTTGTGTATTCAGTATGCTAATGGTGATCTGTTATATGGGTTACTTAACCCCAACATGGTTTAAAATGAGTTTTTTTCACAGAGAAAACTCAACGAGCTAAAGTAACCCTCCTTAGGGCCAACTTTGGCCCAAAATTAAAAATATATATATTAACCCTTAAATATTATTTATTCCTATTTTCGTATGATTACTTGGTAACTTATACTTTAAACTTCACAATGGAAAGATATAAACGAAGAAAGAAGAAGAAGAAGAAGAACGAAGAAAAGAATATGTCAATATTCATCACAAAGAGAAGCTACAATTTTATTTGAAAAAAAAAGTGCACATTTTAGGTCAAAGTAACCCGCAGTTACTCGGTATCATAATACGAGGTAAACCTGCATTATTTTTCGGGAAAACTCACGGAGGTTAGATGTTTTTTTTGATAATTAATGAGATGGAAAATCAGAATTCTAATACACTATGTTACAACAAAAACATATTTCTGATGTCGTAGAAATTAATTTGATCAAATTCATTGAACATTATTAAGAGATTGAGGCGTTTGAAGTTGTACATATTATTGTTTTTTTCGTAAACTAGCTGCAGTAGAATGATCAGTACAAAAAAAGGAAAATAGTATTTGCAAATATTCTACATTGACTTACAATAGGAAGAATAAATCTACTGTTTACATTTCTCGGAAATAGTCAAAACCTATTCTAAGGGGGAAACGAGGCGCTCAAAAATTACGATTTTTTGCAAAAAATGTGAAAGGGCTCTTAAGGAATAAGGAAATATTACTATTTCATTCTTTATTTATGGTATCTAAACGTTAGGTTTGCATGTTGTAAGCATATGTTACCATTTATAATTGTAAAGTATTTATAGTTAGTTTACACAAAACAAACATTAGTAATAAAATTTATCTTATGGAAACTGGCACATACTTATATGCAGACACTAATAAAACATTTTTAAACGAGTCATACTGATGTGACTTGTATTTATGCGCTTTAGCCATTTAACGTTTTGTTGAACATTAAAATAAACAAACAGCTAAGTTCACACAACCACACAACAATTACGTACACACAATATAGAGATGTCTTTTACAATGAGCCTGTACTGATTCAGTTTTTGTTAATGTTTTGACGTCACGAATTAATTTCCACGCACAAAATTGAGATGAAACATAGAAATATCCGACCTCGGACAACGTATTGCAAGAACTTTTAAATAGAGTCGTATTCCAAAGCTAATTCGCAGTTTTGCTTTTGGTTGGATCATCAAATAAGTACCTATGTTATTTTTAGGATAAGTGCAGCAACAGCAAACAATTTAACACATAAAATGACTCGTGATTTGATTAGATGCATATTCCACTACCAACGAGCATTAAAAACAGTCGACATAAGAAATGCTAATTATTATGCTACAGAACATGCATGATAATAATTTATATTTGCATGTAATTCATATTTGACTATAATTTACTTTTTATTTATATCAAATAAATGAATTTTACTTGAATATGTGTTATAAATAACACAATGATTTATGGTAATATAAATTGGCCAACATAGGTAGCCAATTGTCAAATAAGCCTGTTAAATATTGTAGGAATTACATACTCGCCCTTTTGTATTTGTAAGAAATAACACAACAATTATTTGTCATTTTTTTCAAATTCAATTAAAATAATTTTTAAGATTGCCGTTTTTACGGAGTTCTGATTTAAACTTTTAGAGGAGCAAAAGTTGCTTATAATATGATAATTGTTTTCTTATTCCATTTGAGCCATACTTTGGGTCAATATTAGGTTAAGCACACTTCGACTACCCAGTACCGCTTTGTGCGAAACTCTCAGTGAAGAATAAAAAACCTTTTTATAAAATGGACCATCACAGTTTGAGCGTATTCTTTTGGTACCCATCTGAATTTTATTAAAACTAAATATTAGAACAGAAACAGCATACAAGGAGGGTAGGATCGAACTTTTCAGAATGTCTTATAAGCACGTTTTAATTTTTCTAGCTTAGTAATAAAGGCTTGTGTCGACTCTAATTCTTATATCTGTATATGTATTCTAGAAGACACGTACGTAATCTAGAAGATAAATGGATATTTTGAACGGTACTTTTTTATATAGTCGTCGCACCACGGCCTTAAATAGTAGATGTCATTAGACAGATAGTTAGAAGTCGTAGATACTTCACTGGCTGTACAAATGTGCCTTGTCGCCGCTATATGGTGCGTCGTAGGTCTTTAGACCAGATTTATTTTCTTAGTTCTTCACCTCTTTAGTGGTAGGTAGTTCGAGTACTAAAGACCTTAACGAACGAACTGGTATGTATAGGTTCAGTATCAAGAGTATTTCTGTTGATACTGCCCCGTCACTCGGCAGGCCGGGTTTTATGTCATAAGCGAGCGTACACGGGGCTGTCTTCTTAAAACCGATTATCGATGTATCGTGACATCGTCGTACCGTGTCGCCTCTCCGATATAAAAATCCTTAAGTAGGATAGACGATCACAGTATATCGTAAGTTAACTACATGAGTGCTGCTTTCATTGCTGTTAGACAATGCACCTCAATTCATCCACACCTTGAAGGCATAGTCATAAGTTATAATACGCGCGCTGACAGCCCGTCCGTCATTAGTGCTATTAGTCTTATGAAAGTTTGCTTTAACACCATCTGTCGTTTACTGTTAGTGCCGTAAGAGTGAGGTGAGGTGGTGCAGCAGCGGGCGCTAGTTCCGGTTGTGTATAGCGTCGTGGCAGCGCTGGCACACGTGCGCGGTGTTCCGTCAGCGCGGTAAGAGTGAGGTGAGGTGGTGCAGCAGCGGGCGCTAGTTCCGGTTGTGTATGGCGTTGTGGCAGCGCTGGAACACGCGCGCGGTGTTCCGTCAGCGCGGTAAGAGTGAGGTGAGGTGGTGCAGCAGCGGGCGCTAGTTCCGGTTGTGTATGGCGTTGTGGCAGCGCTGGAACACGCGCGCGGTGTTCCGTCAGCGCGGTAAGAGTGAGGTGAGGTGGTGCAGCAGCGGGCGCTAGTTCCGGTTGTGGCAGCGCTGGAACACGCGCGCGGTGTTCCGTCAGCGCGGTAAGAGTGAGGTGAGGTGGTGCAGCAGCGGGCGCTAGTTCCGGTTGTGTATGGCGTTGTGGCAGCGCTGGAACACGCGCGCGGTGTTCCGTCAGCGCGGTAAGAGTGAGGTGAGGTGGTGCAGCAGCGGGCGCTAGTTCCGGTTGTGTATGGCGTTGTGGCAGCGCTGTAACACGCGCGCGGTGTTCCGTCAGCGCGGTAAGAGTGAGGTGAGGTGGTGCAGCAGCGGGCGCTAGTTCCGGTTGTGTATGGCGTTGTGGCAGCGCTGTAACACGCGCGCGGTGTTCCGTCAGCGCGGTAAGAGTGAGGTGAGGTGGTGCAGCAGCGGGCGCTAGTTCCGGTTGTGTATGGCGTTGTGGCAGCGCTGTAACACGCGCGCGGTGTTCCGTCAGCGCGGTAAGAGTGAGGTGAGGTGGTGCAGCAGCGGGCGCTAGTTCCGGTTGTGTATGGCGTTGTGGCAGCGCTGTAACACGCGCGCGGTGTTCCGTCAGCGCGGTAAGAGTGAGGTGAGGTGGTGCAGCAACGGGTGCTAGTTCCGGTTGTGTATGGCGTCGTGGAAGAGCTGGCACACGTGCGCGGTGTTCCGTCAGCGCGGTAAGAGTGAGGTGAGGTGGTGCAGCAGTGGGCGCTAGTTCCGGTTGTGTATGGCGTCGTGGCAGCGCTGGCACACACGCACGGGTCGCAGAGCTCGCAGGCGTCTCACGGGCGCCTCGTATCGGGAGCAACGCCCGCAGAATACGGCGCCGCATTCGCGACAGTGGTGGCGACGCTCCAGCGCCGTGAAACGAACCTATACGCGCAAGTAAATAAGTTTTACTTATAGATCTCAGAACAAAAACTATAGAATCATATAAAGAGTTTTGCGATACCGAATCAAAAAGCGATCTAATCTCAACTGCAACCTGCCAAGATGCCACTAATACTTTTTGGTTGGTATTCGGAAGTGTACTCTCAAACGTCATTGCATTACTTCTATGCTTTACATAGAGTCGATGCGGCTAGGAGGGGAGTAGCCATAATGACATAATACTACGGAAATCATTCTGCCACTTTTTACGGAGGGAGGAATATGCAAGCAAATGCAGTTCGTCACACTTTGAAATTACGATACTCGAAATTGAAAATATATATTACGAAAACGAAATTGTAATTACGATACTCACACATAAAAAATGACAGCGCTAATTCGGGCATAGATGAAACTTAAGATCTTTATATTTTTTAAGCATGTAACTGCTTGATGTTTAAATCTAAAGGAAATATAACTAGAAAAAATAAGATTTTTTATTGACAGATCTGAAATTTGTACTGGCGAGTCAATTGTTTTGTCAAATAAGTCCGACGATTATATTTTAACAAAATAATATGAATTTTGCGTTAAAAAGTGCTTAAATAGAAATAATATGTTAATAATTCTACTTTTATGTGAATTTTAACACCACCCTTTTGTAAGTTAAATATTCCAGATATGTTTTACAGCAAATTACATAACATTTTGGCATTTTTGATCTCTAACATACACTCGCGCGACTTGATTCAGTGAAATATCCGACGCGGAACTAGTTTTGTTTTTTAGCGGGCACAACAGCGGGGGAAAATCGACAGAGGGGAACGCTATGAATGCATACTTCCCTTCTGGCCGCGTTGCTCTATGATGCTTTAGTTCTTGTTCAGAGTTATAGACCTACAGAATAATTATGGATATAGGAAGTGGACTGAGCGTTCCCTGTCTTAATGTAGGAAAAACTTGGCTAAATGTGTGAGTTCGTATATCTAAGAGCTGCACCATTGCTTACTACATTTCATGAAATTGACAATTCAAGGATCATACGAACTATGAGCCGTCCGACACCTCTTCTATCCCTAACTATTTTTTTTATTATATAACAGTCCGACAAATGTCTCTACTCCACCTGATGTTAAGTGAAAATGGAGTCAAGACGCAAAACTACCGCCAGTTTTACCTAATAATAGAATAAGGAACACTCAATCCGTTCTCAAAGTCACAAAATATTTCACTTTCTATCTCTCTTTTTTTAAGGATTGATCTAGACTTAGGGGTAAGAGTAAGCAAAGACCTAGAGCCTCATTATAAACATTTTTGCTTTCTAACTTTGATATATGAAAATTGACGTTAATTACAATAAAAGCAATGCTTTATCAATGAGTGGTTGGATGATTTAACTAAAGCAGAATGAACATTGTGGACATCAAACAGAAAAAATGTTAAGGAAATAATAACTTTAAAGAAAGATTGTTATAATAATATACTACTTAATATTTTATTTAACTTGTTTTAAATGTTTATTAAATCAATCATGCATAAACGGGTGAACGGCTTCGGATGAAATTTGGGCGACATATAATATATTGCCTGAATTGAGATATAGGATACTTTTTACCACGAAAAATTGTAGATTCCTGTAGGATTCTCAAAAAACTAAAGTTACCGCGGACGAAGTATTTCTAGTTGGAAAGTGTTTCTCTGTACTGACCTGGCATTGAGTGCAATACGGGGCAGTGTCGTCTCTAATCCAATGGTCGGCAGGACCGCCTTTTGCGCCTGCAGCTGTCGACATATCCGGGGCCGACCACCTGAATATCTGTCAATAAACATTCAGCATCAATACGTGCATTTTATAAAAAATATTGCATTTATACACTTGTATGGCTATAAGAGAAAGACATTGCGCGCGCATTGCTTTCTCTTGCTTATAGCCCCCACTCAACTCCCGTTCGCCTCGCCCGAACACACTTTAACGTACAGCTTAAAAAGTCAAGCGTGTATAAAGAAGATTCACTTCAAAAAGAGCCCGTGACTCACCCTGCCGCGCGCGTCGCCGACGGCCAGCCCTCGACCGCTGCGCGCGGCCGCCACGGCGGTGACGGCGGCGGGGCATGCGTTGTCGCGCCGCTCGTATGCCGTGTGCATCGTCAGCTTGCCGCGCAATACCACGCGACGCACCCACTTCGTGCCCGACTCTGTACAACACACAAACAGAACAGTCTTATGTATGTTGGTCATACCCGATCAAGTCCATCATCCAATCAAATCAAGTTGAATTATTAGGGCGTGGATTCCAATGACAGTTATATTCGATGCAACAATCTTGGCTCGATCAAGCCGGTGGGATCATGTCGATGTCGAGTTCAGTTGAATTAAATCTGTGAGTTGAGTCAATACCTTTGCAGAGATTTTTAGAAGATTTGGCGATATTTTGTCGGGTTCAGTTATGTGAATATTTTTATTTTTTCTTAACCCCAAACATATCTTGTTTCTGTATCAGGAATAATATGACCAAGATGGCTGTCCGTTACTGGTGACGCCATGACTTCAACTGAACGGGCCTGCAAATTCAACCTGCCGATTAGGCAGTTAAAACTGATCGAGTATGTTGTAAAAGGGCGAATTACAGATTGGATCAAGCCGATTGGACGATAGGCAGTATGGTATATGGCCTCGATCGCGTAGGTGGTTAGCACGTTTGGTCTGTGATCGGGGAAGTAAAGCAACTTGAGCTGGTGCGTTAGCACCCACCAATCCCGCGTGGGGATAATGTTGATCTTTGCGATCATCCATTACGGGGTGAGAAGGTATAAGTATAAGGCGTAGCAAGTGCCGGCTTTTGTTCACTATAGCAACACAATATTTTAGATTTAATATAATTACACAGAAGTGTTCAAGTAAGATATTTCCAGAATCCCACGCTTTCATTCGAAGCAAATATACTGCGTAGTCTGTAATTCACTTAGATAAAAAAGAATTGTCGGTCGGGTAACAGCGGGTTCTGGTGCGGCTAGATCTGAAGTCCCTATGTCTGCAAATCTCTCGGATAGAGAAGAAGGAAAATAGACTTTAATACCTATGTCTTGAGAGGTGTTTTTCATTGTCGGTCGGGTAACAGCGGGTTCTGGTGCGGCTAGATCTGAAGTCCCTATGTCTGCAAATCTCTCGGATAGAGAAGAAGGAAAATAGACTTTAATACCTGTGTCTTGCGTGGTGTTTTTGATTGTCGGTCGAGTAGCAGCGGGTTCTGGTGCGGCTAGAACTACGAAGGAGTCGGTGAGGCTCGTGTCAGACTTGCTGGTTCGCAAGCCTCCTTCCGAAGTTCCTTCAGTGGACTGCCCACAAGTCTCTATGGAATTAGACTCAGCCGAACCGCCTATGCTGCCGCCGCCTTTGTTAAAGGAAAAGTATTATAATGAAGCTTTCTTCTGATCACGCTAGTTAGATTAGTCTAGCCCCAAAGTAAGCACTCTAAAGCTTGTGTTATGATAACGGATACAAATTAACATATTTGATATAAGTATACTTTCTGAGAAAAGTAGCAGTAGTAATTATTTCTCATACAATAATTTTTCCCTACCGGGATTCGGACCCAAGACAGTGGGTACCACTTTAATGTAGTGGATACCACGAAAACCTCGGAAGTTGTTAAAAATATCTAAATAAAAAAAAACAAAATTCGCTATTTATTGCCACTACACTTATCGTGCCGATTGTAAAAGCCTACCCACAGAAAAACGAAGTTTAAAAAACGTCACTAAGTTCAGCTCAGTAAAATGAGCAATAACACGGATAACATTTTTTCATAATATTTTTAAGTCCAAAATTGTTCACTTACTCTTTCTATACAAAGGATTGCCCTTAGATTTCCTCCTTAACACGACGTTCCCCTGTTTTTGCAGTTTACTCTTACACATCGCTCCATCTCTTTCTGTCTCCGCTTCCTTCTCATTATCGTACTCCTGTTTGGCCTCGTAGCACGAGTCCACGGGTTCGTCTTTTTGTTCCAAACTGGAGTATTGACGAATGTCGTCGTTGTCACTACAGGTGTCTTTTTCGTCGTGTCTCCGTGCGGATTCTTTGGCGCTAGTAGTCTCACCAATGTCCGATAGGGAGCTTTCTGATCCAGATTTCGTAAGATCACCTTAAAATAATAAAATAATCAAGCCTAGATTTTATCTTTATTCAAAGTTTTGGATAAACATGATGATGAGTGTAACATTTCCTAGAATATGTGACTGATTATGTCATGTCTGCTCGGCAACCTTTATAATTTTTTATCAACCTTTTGTTTGATTGTTTTAAACGGATTTTGTTTGTAGGATAAGGCACAGTATATGAATAGCGCGTACACACACATTGTAAAAGAAGTTGTTTGGTACTTTCCAAATTGATTGAAAATACCTTAGGTTTATATTTCAATGCCCACTGTGATGTCATTTATGTCTATGGGAGTTATACACATTCTAGATTTTTAACTTTAGCAATTATAACTACCGCCTAATTGACAAAGGATGTGTTACGTTATATGTATAAGTGTACGTGTAAACAAATGAACTTAACTATTATTACATGTATTTAAATAAAAACTATTTATATAAGTTATATTTACCTTCCTTTTCTTGTGAAAGACTCATTTGTTTGACCAGTTCTTCTACCCTCTTTATAGCCGCTTCGGTCTTGCACGGTTCATTGTCGTCGATTTTCGTTTCGTTCTCAGCATTACCTTCGTTCTCGGACTTCGCATCCTCGCTTTCTTGCACTGACAGCTTGGAATCGACATCCACAGAACTCGAGGCAGGTTCAATACTTACAGCCTCGAGGCTCTCTGATTGTTCCTCAACCGTTTCTGCGATATAGTCTATTGACCACATCTAAAAAGATTTGAAATATATTTAGCAAAATATAAATTAGTGTGCCCGGACCATGCATCTGAAGTGAAACTTATTTTCTTTAATAACCTAACATTAGGCGGTGCAAAGGGCACAGGGGAATGGAGGAGCGCACGCATCACTCATATGCAGGGCGTCCCACGGCTACCTCACACGCAGGGAAAGTATATTAAATATTGAAGATAGGATATTTTACTGAAAGAAGACATCATTTTATTTTGAATAATAACTAGAACTGCATTGACAGTTTTTTATTTAAATCGCTTGCTAATCGAACTCGTGAAATTTCGAAAAAAAACTACGACATATTTTATGATAACCATCGAAAGGGTTAATCATAAGGATTATTTTTTGCTAAATAACATAGCATTTAAATAAATAAATAACTAGTCTGGCCATAAATACTCTTACGTAAATACGTTTTTAAACGTACTCTGTTTTTAAACTTTTTAATTATTTTGAATTTGGAACACGTATATTATTTTAAAAACTTTTTACATATTTTTTCGTGTTCATTATCAAATTACAATATGGAATGGGGTGTTAAAGAAAATAGGATTGCAGTGATCGCCTAGTACAAAGTGGGTATGGAGCCGTCGGTTATATTCCAGACACTTCAAAAGCTTGGTATCAGCTGGACTAGGTAGCCGTGTGACGCTCGAGACGCATTTCCGTTACATCTTTTCCATCTGATTTTTTATCTTTCATTTACACCCCGTCCGGACAGAAGTTTCATTTTAATAACGCTTTCTTTTAAACCGATCTAAGCTGATCTTTGAGGTTACATAAGATCGCATGAAACTACCATATCAGGATATTTTAGGTTTATATAAATGCGAAAGGGTGCCTGTCTGTTAACTCTTCGGGCTTAAACCGCTGAAATAATTGGAATGAAATTTGGTATTTTGAGTCCAGGGAAAGGATATAAGAAATTTTTTGTTTAATAAATCATGTTTTAAGGATTGTGGGGTGGGAGGGGGGGAGGGTGCAAGTTGGTATGGGAAATCAATTGAACCATGCTGACGAAGACGCGAGGCACCTGCTAGTATTAGGATATTTTAAAGGGCGGTTATTATGAATGCGAAAGTGATTTGATCTTGATAAAATTTGTTGCAGAAATATAGTCCCGGGGCAGGACATATCCATGCAAACTAATTCACACTAATAAAAATTGAAGTCTTACCCTCACAACGCCATCCGAAGATCCTGTAATGATCACATTGAGCGGGTCCCATTCGCGCGTCTGGCTGAAAGCCGCGCACAGAATCTGCTGCGATCTCTCCCGTCCCCCGGCCGTGTCCACTGCGCCCAGTAGTTCCCCGTTTATGGACCACGCGTGGAGCCAACTACCGCTGCACGTCGCTATATCGCCCTGTGGCGAAACAATCAAGAGAAAGATGTGAGTAAGAGTGCATAGACAATGAATCTTGCGCAGTAGCAATTTTATGTAAGTATAAAAATGTCTAGTGCGCAAGTTTATTTTGCCTGAGGTCTTACTCAAGAAGTTTGCCGCTACCTTTACTCGTGACGAAATGGATGGATGATGACTCACTTTTTTTCTTTGTCTATTAGGTATATTACCAAAAGTGTTGGATGAAAAAAACATTCGTAGAAGTATGATTCAGGAGTTCGATGACATCAGTGGTAAGCACGCACGTTCGTTAAATTGATTGTTGAAGTTAAGCTACTATCGCAATGGCCTGTCATCCGGTGGGTGACCAAAAATTTACTATTTTGAGCTCATTTGTGCTTCGGAAGGCACATTAAGTTCTTGATCCCGGCTGTGCGGTCGCGGTGATGGCCCGATCTCCATATTCCATACATAGGGAAAGGGTGTGCCTCAGCTGTGGAATAATGTATCATTGACACATCTGGCTGATGATGACTCACCGTCAGATCGTCTATATCGAGCGCGGACACAGGCGGCGATGGCGAGCGGTGAGGCGGCAATAATTGCCTCAAGAACGCCCCACTCCTCCACGTCCCACACTAGCGCCTGCCCGTGTTGAGTGAGGGGCTGATGATGACTCACCGTCAGATCGTCTATTGCGAGCGCGGACACAGGCGGTGAGGCGGCAATAAATGCCTCACGAACGCACCCCTCTCACGTCCCACACTATCGCCTGCCCGTGTTGAGTGAGGGGCTGATGATGACTCACCGTCAGATCGTCTATTGCGAGCGCGGACACAGGCGGCGATGGCGAGCGGTGAGGCGGCAATAATTGCCTCACGAACGCACCCCTCTCTACGTCCCACACTATCGCCTGCCCGTCCCGACTGCCGCTAACTACCAAGTTGTACGCCGGACTGGCCGCTAAACAAGTCACGGCTTCCTCGTGCCCGTATAGACACACTTTAACGGCCAGTTTTCGCCGTCTGGCCCAATACTGCCACACGGTAACAACCTGATAAAAAAGACGATCAATATGTTAATATTACCCTCTTGGTTTTCACGTATAAAGTTTTGAAGTTATCTTTAATTGTATTGGAATAGACGGTACCGTTTAACAGTCAACAATAAAAGAATATACAAATTTAAAAAAAACTGTAAAAACAATTTATATACTGAGTAACTGCGGGTTACTTTGACCTAAAATGTGCACTTTTTTTTCAAATAAAATTGTAGCTTCTCTTTGTGATGAATATGTCACGTTTATATATTTCCATTGTGAACTTTAAAGTATAAGTTACAAAGTTATCATACGAAACTAGGAAAAAATAATATTTAAGGGTTAATATATATTTTTTTAATTTTGGGCCAAAGTTGGCCTTAAAGAGGGTTACTTTAGCTCGTTGAGTTTTCTCTGTGAAAAAAACTCATTTTAAGCCATGTTGGGGTTAAGTAACCCTTATAACAGATCACCATTAGCATACTGAATACACAAATGTATGTTATTGCCCTAAAAAAATTAAGTTAATATAAAAGATATAACTTTAAATTTAGAAATAATAGTAAACTTACCGAAAACCACAGTTTTGAGAAAGTTTGCGCATGAACTTGCGAACTATTTCAGTTACAAAAAACAATGACAACTTGATACAGGAACTATGTCGGTAAAACAACACCACACTACGCGCCTATATGGCCATCTGTGATTTTCAACTGGAACTATTACGGTCACCCAAAAGATACTGATGTGGCGGCAAGTTTAATATTTTTTCTGATTTGGGACAAAGTTACCCGCCCGAGCTAAAGTAACCCTCACTTACGGTACTCAGATATGGCAAATGCCGTCCCACCATGTAATCTTATAGATATCCTTTTGGTCTGTATAACATTTCAGAGTGATTTTTATGACCAGATAATTTGAACTTTACACTCTGATACGAAAAAAAAAATCATCTTGCTGCATCATACATAATGCTCAAACTTCCACACAGTTTTAATAAAAGAAATTAAATTGTATCTAATTCTATTACTCATATCAATTTCTAAATCAGAACCGATAAGGATTACGTATCTCTTCACTTACCGTACTAGTGCCAGCCGTAACTATAGTCTTCGCCGAAGGGCACACACAGGTCACGATTTCACCACACGCTTGTGCGACAGCCTCGCATACAAACACCGCTTTATCGTTGTCATAGTTGCCGATACGCAGAGAGTGGTCCGCGAACCCCCACGCCACATATTTGTTGTACGATGGAGGCATTAGCACTTTGTTTTGTTCTACGGCTAAAATTGCCTTCTCCGTGTACAGAATTTGACCCACGGGACCTTTTACTTCTGCAATAATAGTAGGCTGCTTTAGTGGTTAAGAAGTTCTTAAATATTTGTCGACATTTCATCTTATGTCTATCTAAAACAAGTTTCAACGGGTTAGATGCACTGATTTTATTTATTTATTGACGTTTCGCAGTCAGGAATGCGTCGTCAAACGTCGTCTTAAATAAATAAAAGCAGTCAGACGACATTTGACGACGCATTCCTGCAAAGGCTGCGAAACGTCAATAAATAAATGAAATCAGTGCATCTAACCCTTTGAAACTTGTTTTATTTAATGAGTGATGTGCGTAAAAACCTTGGAAACAAAAATCTTATGTCTACTGAAATTACCGATATATCGTAGTATTACAGTATTAATAGTGTCAATAGTGGTGTCGATTTTGGCATGATTCTCTAAACTTAAAACTTTTAACATCTTTGTCTTTCATCTATTCTTTTTTAACATTAGTCTCTCCTTTTTATTCTGGATAGAGAATGACAAGAATAAACTGTTGTCAAATATATTTTAGGTTTAGAGAATCATCCCAAACGCCACATGAATATCGTTATGAATTTAATAAACGTGATAACAACTATACCCCAAGCACGAACAACTAGCGAGAAATTATTCGTATCGCACAATATTGTCAAAGTTTCTATGGAAAGGTCTAGGTTGTCCTTTCTTCCAGTGCTGCTGGAATGAAAACGAAATAAAAATGAAACTAAGCTTTCATAGAAACATGATTTGAGATGGCCTTACCAATACTTTCTCGCGAGTTGTTCGTACTTGGAGTGCAGATTTAATTTAGTAAACGTGATTTTTAACTAAAACATTGAATAAATTTGATCATGAATAAAAGTACCATGCAATGATTTTCGGACATATTTAATATGACTTAATTACCTTTCACGGGTTGTAAGGAAGGCCTCAAATTCTCCAAGTTGTGGAAGAATAATTTTTCGGGTGGAGTGACGCCCTGTGACGGTATAATGTTATTGGGATCCAATATAGTGGAGCTCCGTTGCGACATTTTCTTACTAGGATGCGCTTTCTTGAACAGCTGCTTTGGTATTTGACCGAAGTTGTTAATGAAACCAATTGTAGCATTTTTCTTTAGTGGATCGTCGATGCTGCAAAACATAACCCAATTTATTTTGAAAAGCGGAAAAAGTTTGTATTTACTTTTTTTGACTAAAAAGTCAAGTAAGTCTGAGCAACTCAAGCACCAAAATACTGCCCGTAAAAACTTCACTTACTTGTAAATGTCGACGTTGCCTTCGTAGAAAAGATGATGGAACACGTTAAAAGAGTCCACGGCGGGCTGACCTTGTTGCTTATACCCAAACACTAGGTCAATCCAGTGGTGAAGTCGGTGAGATACAAAGTCTGATTCTAGTGCGGCTCGATGCAAGCGTATGAATTCACGCGGATCTCCGCGCGCCCAAGGCGGTAGAACTACGTCCCCCAGAGCAACTCCCGATTGCTTCGAACCTGACCAGTAATAATTATTTTTTGTATTTGCTATTAATTATACGCATATACGCATTAGACGCAGGTAGAACTGCTGTATCAGCTACTTCGCGTCTGGACTTCACTTTCACTTAACATCAGGTGGGGTGGAGTCATTTGTCGGACCTATCTATATATATACACAGTCAGGTCATAAGTATTGTCACACAGTAAAAACTTTTCTTTTAGAATGCTGGCCTCAAAAAAGTTTATTGAATTCGAATTTCGAATTGTTCATGAAAATAAAAATGTATACTTTTTAGAATTTTACCCATTTTTAAATATGAAGTGGACGCTTAAAGAAGACCGTGTTGCAGTTATTGCGTTGCATCGTTGCGGTTACGCGCCAATTCAAATTTTTGACATACTGAAAAATTTTAATATAACCAAAAGATTCGTTTATCGTACTATCAAACGATACAATGAAGACTCTAGTGTAGATGACAGGTCAAGAAGTGGTCGCCCTCGGTCTGTTAGGACTACAGCAGTGATAAAAGCTATGAAGGCGCGAATTCAAAGAAATCCCAAAAGTCAGCAGAAATTGTTGGCCCTTCAGATGGGGTTAAGCAGAACCACGATGAAAAGAGTGTTAAATGAAGACTTAGGGCTTCGGGCATATCGAAGAAAAACAGGACATCGTTTGAATGCTCGTCTAATGGACCTGAGACCGAAGAGATGCCGCGCTTTGTTGAAGCGGCACGCGGGAAAAAATATCGGTATATTTTTTTTTCGGATGAAAAAAAATTTACCGTAGAAGAGAGCTACAACAAACAAAATGATAAGGTGTACGCACGCAGTAGTGAAGAAGCGAGCAACCGTATTCCGCGTGTCCAACGAGGTCGTTTTCCATCCTCGCTCATGGTATGGTTTGGAGTTTCTTATTGGGGCTTAACAGAGGTACATTTTTGTGAGAAAGGTGTAAAAACGAATGCAGTTGTGCATCAAAATACAGTCCTGACGAACCTTGTGGAACCTGTTTCTCATACCATGTTCACTAACCGGCACTGGGTATTCCAACAAGATTCGGCGCCAGCTCATATAGCGAAGAGCACACAAGACTGAGAAAATCTGAGAGAAATCGACTTCATCCGGCACTTAGACTGGCCCTCCTCCACTCCAGATTTGAGTCCGTTAGATTACAAGATATAGCAACACTAGGAGGAAAAGGCGTGCTCAAAGCCTCATCCCAATTTGAAGTCACTCAAGACATCCTTGATTAAGGCAGCCGCCGATATTGACATGGACCTCGTTCGTGCTGCGATAGACGACTGGCCGCGCAGATTGAAGGCCTGTATTCAAAATCACGGAGGTCATTTTGAATAAACTTTATTGTCATAAGAATCTATGTTTTGTTAAGTTCATTTTGGTATATAAATGGTTTCATAATGAATAAACTTGTTTCAATTATTTTATATTAAACATATGACAGAATTTATGACCTTACTAGGTATATATATATATATATATAAATTTTAGAGATATATATTATTTTCAAAGCCACGCCAGATTGCTTTGAACCTCATCAATGGTAATAGTTTCTTGCTATATTGCTTGTAATAGTTATATGCTACCACTTCATTCATATGGCTATTAGTTTTTGCTATTTGTAAATCTGAAAGCAATATATTCTTATAATGCATTACTCGATAGCAAATTTGAATAGCCATGCCAGCATTGTATTGTCCGCGTCCAAAAACATCTTTAAACGGGGACTAAGCACTGATATTTTATTTTTCATTCACGTGTTATCTCTGAAGTTATAATTTCCCGGTTCAGTGGTCATTATTGATGAACATAGTAGTTACTTAATTCCATCGCGGTATTTTGGTACGGGTATCGAACGCAATAAAAGACTTCGTCGGAGGGTAGGCCGATATATCTGTCAATAACAGCCTACCCACAATTACTTAAATTACTCCGTGGTCATGTTGCTTGCATCAGTGTCAAAATATCGGTAACTCGCTAAAAACAGGATACATGGTAACGATCCCGTAAATAACATAAATTACTTTAACATTTGTGACCATGAAAGTTTAAAACAATATATAATTTTATCGAATTCTTAAAAGAATTTAAAAGTATGTAGAACGATAATGACAAATGAAAATATTGTATCATTTCCTTAGCTACAAGTTACAAATAACAAAACGTAAACAAAAGTTATATAGACGTATCAAATAGCTGATAATATTACCCAAGTCAAAATTGTTGGAATTGACTAGAAACTCAGGCAGGTAGAAGAATTCAGGTATGAGTTCCTTCACATCGGCCATGTTGTGTCTCGATGCCGAATTCCAACCTTCTTTAATCGAATGGAACATTCTGAAAAAGAAAGTACGACTTTATTGTATCAGTACCGTAGGCTCCGTGGCCGTAAAATTTAATATTATAATCAATAATAATTAATAATCAAAATCATTTATTCAGTTTAGGCTGTTACAAGCACATATGAATGTCTAGAAGCTACGCCATCGGTTCGTAAATCTACGGCGGGAGACCTTGTACTGAGAAGAACCGGCAAGAAACTCAGCAAGGGCTGTTTTTTTCTCCCTGTTTTATCATTTACAGAGTCGTCAAGTTGAAAAATGACTTCAGAGATGATTCATGAAGTCACCCTTCATTACATAATGTGAAATTATACATTAATTGTACACCTGCATTTTGATTGCTGTGTCACACAGTATAAATACAAACAGAGTTATTTATAATAGGTTCACGAGCATGACGCATGAACCAGCCATCGCTTCGCTCATCCATATTTTAGGGAACGTAACGACCCGCCTCACACGACACCACCGAAGAGACTTTTAAGAGAGCATGACTACCCATAACCACCTATATCAACCACAACATATTTACTTAAACTTAAAGTCATTTATCTGTAGGACACTGCAAACAATTACAAAGCAAAAACAATGGAGAAATCATGACCACGCCGTTTTGTCATTCAAATCTTCTTAAATAGTCTGATATTCTTCCTTACATAATCAGCTTTAAATACAGCTTTTCAATAAAAGTATCATCAACACATGATCCATAATATATATCATATAGAAATACCCGTTGGAATGGTTGGAACAGTTCAAACCCAAGCATTTTTGTCTGTAATATAATCAGACACTTTATAATAAGCATTCTTAATAAGAGTTTTTTTAATAGTCGATTTAAATTTAGTCAGGCTCAACTCTTGAATATTGCTTGGGACTTTATTGTAAAAGCGAACACAGAGGCCTCTAAACGAATTATTAATTTTGTGGAGCCTAGTAGCAGGTAAAGTTAACTTATTTTTACTTCTAGTATTAAGTGTATGTATTTCACTATTTTTAGTAAATAAACTAATATTTTTTTTGACATATACTAAGTTTTCATATATGTATTGTGATGCAACCGTCATTATGCCTATTTCTTTAAACTTATTTCTTAAAGAGTCCTTAACTTTAAGATTATAAATTGATCGAATAGCCCGCTTCTGCAACACAAATATTGTTTGAATATCGGCGGCATTTCCCCACAGTAAAATACCGTAAGACATTACACTATGAAAATAACTAAAATAGACTAATCTGGCAGTTTCTATATCCGTTAACTGACGTATTTTCATTACAGCATATGCTGCAGAGCTAAGTCTCTTCGACAATTTATCAATATGTGGGCCCCATTGCAACTTTGAATCTAGTGTGATTCCTAAGAACACTGTGGTATCTACAAGGCTCACATTTCGATCCTTTATATTTACATTCGTTTTTACCTGTTTAACATTAGGTAAAACAAATTTCAAACACTTAGTTTTCCCTTCATTTAGCAGTAAATTATTAACGTTAAACCAGTGGACTACCTTAGAAATAGACTTGTTCACGTCGTCAATTTGCGACTGCCTACGTTTAATTTTAAACAAAAGTGAAGTGTCATCCGCAAACAATACTATTTCATGGTTATCCTTTACAAAATAAGGCAAATCATTGATATAAATTAAAAATAAGAAAGGACCAAGGATTGAGCCCTGCGGAACTCCCATCTTAACCGACGAACCAGGAGATTTTTCTCCATTGATGTCAACCCTCTGAACCCTATCACTCAAATATGATACAATAAGATTCGGTGCGAAACACCGGAGTGATACGACGTGTCCACGCAGTTTGCAAAAGTAAAACCAGTGATATAGACCTCTGCCATACGGGTTTTACATGTTGTTATCGTGTCTAGTGTCGCTGGACTAACGCGAGCCTTACAACCACCCAACAAGACCCCTCGCTTATGGACGGAAACACAGCTCATCGGTGTCTCGCACGACTGGTTATTGGATGTGTATTGTGCTTCATACTTACTTATCTGTGATTAACGCTCAGCGAATTTAGAAACTATCATCAATGACATAAGGTATTTATTCTAAAGGTGCATTAAAATATCAAGTGGTGAAGAATAGAATCAGCTGACTACCGCTTATAAAAATATAAATATTTTTCCTAAAACCAAACAATTTATCTCAGCATTTTATCTAATTATACGAAGGCGGGCTAAGTGACAGAACAATTAATAAGAAGAATAACTTTTACCTGTTAACACAACCAGTTTAATCATGCCGAGAGTAGAAAGATCTCCACCAAAAACACCAACTGGATTAACACACTCCAAGTCGGACTCAAGTATGACTTTGCACTCCAGTACGACAGTGTCGAGTGTGGAAAATACTAACCCGAGTTCGCGTAATAAGCGACCAAGAAGTGAGACCTCTCCCATAAATGAACTCAAGGAATTTAAACGCGAATTTAAGGAAGAAATAAAAGAAATGCTTATGTCTTGGAATGCCGCTCATAGTAATTCTATATCGGAAATGATGGAACAACAAAGTATTCTATTGAATAAAATTACTTCCGAATTAAGTAACCTAAAAACACAGAATGCTCAGTTACAAAAATGTTTCAGTGAGGTTGAACAATCGATGGGATTTATTAATCATCAGTACGAAGACGTCAGCAGCAAGGTGATTTTATTGGAAAAGGAACGTTCGGAATTAAAAGACTATGTAATAAACCTTGAAAGTAAAATCAAAGACTTACAATATAAATCTCGGAGTGCCTGTATTGAAATAAGAAATGTACCGATTAAAGATAAGGAAACGCACGAGGATCTGGTGTCTATTGTTACTAAAATAGGCACAATCATTGGTACTGATATTACTCCAACCGAGATTAGGGATATTCATCGCCTTCCAGCTAAGCCAGGCGCTGCTAAACCAATACTCGCCGAGTTCACCCATCTACAAACTAAAAATATTTTCCTATCTTCTTGCAAAACATATAATAGAGAACAATCTACTACGAGCAAATTAAATACTGACCTGTTGGAACTAGCATGCACTCGCACTCCTGTGTATGTGGCGGAATATCTTCCTCTACAGACCAAGAAATTATTGTTTAGAGCTCGTGAATTTGCGGCCGCCAATAACTTTGAGTTTTGTTGGACATCTAATGGCAACATATATCTAAGGAAGGAGGCAGGTGCAAAGACTGTATATGTTAAGTCTGAACAAACCCTTAATGATTTAATTATAAAGGAATGACTAATCCTAATATTTTTCTATAGTTATTGTAATGTTTTTCTTGCTAGCATAAAAATAAATATTTACCTAATTACTATTTCTCTTAAAAACTACAAACAGATTATCATTTATTCGCACACAACACACCATAAACATTCTTCATCTTACACTTACATCATTATGGTGGTATATACAGTAACAATACAACAAACAACTGTAAAACAAAACACGTTTCACTGTAGCCACTTATTTTTTTCATTTTTTTATATCTGTATTATATTTCGAATATACGTGTATACATATATTTTACCATTTAAAATAAATGCAATATTAATAAAACTAAAACTTACATTATTATACTACATATATACAAATGAGCATATTAAAAAAATGTTGTCGATACTTGTCAAATACATAAGACTAGGGTATGATACAATACATACCTCCCGTGTCAATATTGTCCCATCTAAACAATTATCTCAGTCAAAAAATATAAGCTCATTTTCTGCGATTATATTTCAGGATAATGGCTAACATAAGTGACACAAGTTTAGAATTAGACAAATACACAATATCCAAGTCCTACAGATGTGAGGTAATAAAATGTCAAGAATACCTGCCCAATAACAGTCGACATCTAACACTACTACACTTGAATATAAGAAGTATTAACAAAAACTTTGATGAAATCAATGTTCTTTTGCATAGGCTTAATATAACATGCGATATTTTGGTTTTAAGTGAATGCTGGTTGAAAAATCTTGCGAGTGTGCCGGTACTTACTGACTATACTGCATATAGCACAAAAAACAATAGAAATCAAAATGAAGGAGTAGTTGTGTACGTCAGAAACGGTATCAATTGCAGAGTACGGGAACCACCCTTCGTAGATGCCAATTGTCTTATATGCGAAATCGATAACAGCTTGGCCATTGTAGCTGCTTACAGATCTCCTTCATATAAAGCAATAGACAATTTTCTATCTAGTCTTAATAATATTTTGAATATGCTTGCAGCATTTTCAAACATCATCATTATCGGTGATATGAACATCGATATTAAACATAACAGTAAAGACAGTCATGCAAATGGGTATCTTGAGCTGACTGCATCACACGGCCTTCTGCCGGCGCATGTACTACCCACTAGGATAAATAGTTGTTTAGACCACGTCATTGTTAAAACAGGACATGAAGCGACAACGCTAGTTGTTGAATCAGCAATTACTGATCACTCTCCAGTTCTATTTAATTTGAATCTCGTACAACCTAAGATTCAAAACAATAAAGTAAAAACTAAAACTGACTTTAGCGCTGTCGCATCTGAACTTGAATTGAAGGATTTCTCTGAAGTATATCTAATTGACGACGTTGATAAGGCTACTGATTATTTGATAAATATCTTAACCAACACAATCAAAGCACATACGGTAGTATCTACAGTTCCATGTAGGCAAAGGACTCTTAAACCCTGGATGACACCTGGCCTACTAAGATGCATACATAACCGTAACAAAATGCACAAAAAATCCCAATTAGAGCCACATAATACCGTACTCAGCATTACATATAAACGTTATCGGAACTTCTGCAACGAGATACTTAAAAAAGTTAAACGGGATTACGAAATTTCAGAGTTTGAAAAGGCTAAAAACAATCCTAAGAAAACTTGGGGGGTAATAAAACAGATAACGAACTCTGGCAGAAATAACATCCTACCTACAGAACTCTTAAATGTACACAATTCACCAGAGGAATCAATTAATGCCGTTAATAGATATTTTGCAAATGTGGGCAGAGACCTATCGAATAAAACTGCACAAGGCTCGATCATCAAATCAGTGCCAACGAATGCACATCAACCACTTAACTCAATGGTCATTTTAAGTGTAACAGAATCAGAAGTTTGTGCCATTGTAAGGGGCCTACGCAACGACTGTGCCACGGGATGGGATGGAATATCTGCGGGGCTTCTTAAATCAAGTCCGGCGCTGATTCCAGTGATCACGCATATCTGCAACTTGGCAATCACAACAGGCAAATTCCCTAGATCTCTCAAAAAAGCTATAATATTCCCTATATACAAAAATGGTGATAGGAATGATATGACGAACTTCAGACCGATCTCAGTGCTTCCTACCATCTCCAAGATAATAGAGAAGATATTGAATAGGAGCTTAACCAATTTTCTCGAAGATAATAAGTTGATATCGGACAATCAATATGGATTTCGGAAAAACAAAAGTACAGAAGATGCTATTGAGTCCCTTGTTGAACACACAGTTGAGAAAATAGACAAAAAGCAAAGATGTATTGGGCTCTTTTTGGATCTCACCAAAGCGTTCGACACCGTCTCCATCCCGCTACTGATCGGAAAACTCGAAGCCATAGGAGTCAGAGGAACGGTATTAGATATATTTAAAGATTATTTGACAAATCGTACCCAGTGCACAAAAATTGGATCGTACATCAGCCAGGAGGTGCAACTGAAAGATTATGGAGTGCCTCAAGGGAGCATATTGGGACCTACACTCTTTCAAATTTACGTGAATGAACTGTGCGATATGACAATTCCTAATTCACACATATTTGCTTACGCAGATGATACGGCAATAATTACACATGGAAAAACGTGGACGGAGACTGCGAGAATGACTGAGAATGCGATCGAACTAATCACGAGTTGGCTTCAAAGTAACCAACTATCACTTAATTTAGGTAAAACAAAATATTTAGCATTCTCGTCACGACCATCCTTGCAACGAGCATCGAATCAGATCAGGATCAGAGCACATGTAGGTCAGTGCAGAGCAGCTGAATGCAGTTGTCAATCGCTAACACAAACTGACTCAATGAAATATCTTGGGGTTATACTGGATCAGTGTCTGAATTGGTACGATCAGTTGCAAAGTGTAAGCAGTCGTATTCGGAAACTAATTTACATTTTCAAAAAGCTTCGAAATTCAGCCGATATTGATACACTTAAGATGGTATACTCTGCCCTGTGTGAATCTTTGTTGTCTTACTGTATCTCCGTCTGGGGGGCTGCTTCAAAAACAATGTTTATTAACCTTGAAAGGGCACAAAGAGCTGTCTTAAAGGTAATATATAGAAAGCCGTATAGGTATCCAACAAACTGCCTATATAAAACGGCCCAGGTTCCGACAGTAAGACAAATATACATTCTAAGGTCTACTTTAAGACAACACGCTAAGACACCTGTGCGTAATGATGACAAAACAAGCAGAAGACGACCAAAACCTGTTTGCCCTCGCATCCACTGTAGAACTAGTTTTGCAAATAGACAAAGTTTATCGACACACACTAGAATGTATAACAAAATTAACCAAATTCTTAACATTAATAAACTTAATAAGTATGAGTTTAAGATCAAGGTAAAAGTGTGGATACTAACCCGCACTTACAGTGAAACGGAACATATACTACTTTAAAATATAGATGACATTATTACAACACACACAATATCTCACATATACACACAAACACATACACACTCACACACACATTAATTTATAACGTTTTTGTAATCATCCGGTGTCTCGAATCGAACCACTGCCTTTCATAACACAGGTCTTACCTAGCATGAAAGTCAGGGGTCCTACTTATAAGACTATAAGATAGCAAACCATTCCATGTCTATTTTAAGACCATATTGTAGTAGTACTTGTAAGGTTTGTTGAATAAACATTATTATTATTATTATTATAATAATAGTTATTTTCTAAGTAACAGAAGGTACGCTTTTAACAAAATAATGATGATAACAAATATACCTATATAAAATCGTAAAAAGCAAACAAATTACCTTGATTTTCTACGATAAATCGCTTTTCATTCAAGGACTTCAATGTACTCTCAGAGGTGGGCGTTGTTTTAATAACTAATGCAATTGTTATCGTACACATTTATTGTATTCAATGTCTTTGTTCCAATAAAATATATTTCATTTCATATCATTTAAAGATAAATAATGACTTTATAGGTACCTATTATGTTTTGTTTAAGATATAATTAAAAAACGAATATTACTAAAAAGGTACCTGTCCGAATACCTATGCTAAATAAATCAAATTCTTACAAGAATTCCACAAGTCAGTATTTTTTTATTTTATTTTAAGTTATTATTGTCAATAGCGGCTATAGAAATAAATATCTAGGAAAGTTGCTTAACTTCAAAGATTGCAGAACGAACTAGTATTACCCGTACTGTAAAATTCTCTTATTGCCCTCTTTTTCATGTACTTTATAATCTACGACATTAATATTACTTTATTAATTTATTTTATTTTATAGTAAGTCATAATTTTTATATAATTAACATTTGTAATGGAAAGTGACTTCGTGAGTTATCTCATATTGAAGTCATTTTCCAATTTCACGATTCTGTCTAAAGTACAGGGAGAAAAAAACAGCCCTTACTGAGTTTCTTGCCGGTTTTCTCAGTACAAAGTCTCCCGTCTCTCGCCGTAGTTTTGCGAACCGAGATGGCGTAGCTTTTCGACATTCACATGTGCTTGTAACAGCCTAGACTGAATAAACCATATTGAATTTTGAATAAGGTAGACTATAATACTCTATTTACAAATACCAATATCCAAAAGTACGTGTTTATGGACAAATAATTAAAAATAACTCTTTTATTAAAAAAAAAAAAAAAAAATAAGATCCAGAGTGGTGTCTCTAAATCCATAGTGCTGTAGTTTCCTGATCAATGTTTCATGAAAAACGCAATCGAATGCCTTTGATAAGTCGCAAAACACACCAAGTGCATCATGCGAGTTCTCCCAGGCATCAAAAATTTGCTGTACAAGCTCAACACCGGCATCGGTTGTTGAGCGACCCCTTGTGAAACCAAATTGTTTACTATGCAGAAAGTTATTACTATAAAAATATGATTGCATTTGATCTAGCATAATCTTTTCAAAAATCTTACTAAAGGTGGGTAGCACGGATATGGGTCTAAAATTTGTGGGGTCAGATGTGCTACCCGATTTATGCAATGGAGTTATTTTACTATGTTTCATTAGATCAGGAAAAACACCACAGTCAACACATTGATTAAAAATGCTAGCCAGAATAGGAGCTATTGTCTCAATTACTGATCTAGAAACATCCACGGAGTTACCCCACAGATCCGCGGTTTTCTTTTTATTCAATTGCTTAAAATATTTGATTATGTCTTTAGAGTTAACATATTTAAATTTAAATTGACTAGTACCTTGTTTTATGTTTTCTTTTAATATTGATTCAGCAGCAATGGGGGAGGAGTCCAAGGATTTTGTAGTTGAAACTGGAATATCAGTGAAAAAATTCTCAAATGCTGTAGCAACTTCAGTATCTGATGTAACATTTCTATTTTCAATGTTTAAATTAAAGCTGGTATTTCGAGATTTAGATTTTCCAGTTTCATTGTTTATAATGTTCCATGTCATTTTAATTTTGTCATTACTGTTCTTAATCTTACAACTTAAATAATTTGATTTACCTTTTTAAATAACTTAGAATAATTACGTACATACTCTCTGAATCTTTCAGTAGTATTAATGCTGCGTTCATTGTATAGTTCATAAAGTTTTCTTCTACTGTTATGTATGCCTGGGGTGGCCCACTCACTGAAGGTTACTGCATCACTAACACATATGGTTTTGGGAACGAAGACGTCATTAAATTCTTTACAAAAAATATTAAAAAAATCATTATACAACTCATTTGGACTGTCTTTATACTTTAAATAACTCAACTTCCTATCTAATTGAATTTTAAAACGCTGTATTATTTTAAATGATTAGTATGCATGAATAAAATAATAAGAGATGTATTGTATTTTATATATACAGTCAGTATAAAGTCCAAACTACACAAGATTTAAAAGAGTCAGCCTTACTGCTGCAGGCAATTTAACGGTTTTAAGCATTTTTAATGTTCTTAATTTATTGAACTAAAACGTGTTACATTTATTTTTTACACATACCTGTCTGCTAAATCAAAGTGGCCGCCTTGTAGCCTAAGGAAGTGCTGCGTGAATGGTTCCATTCGCACCAGGTACGAACAAACTATCATTGCCGAAGAGTAATGTGTACCATAGTGATACGGGGGCGTCTCACCGTGAGGATCATCCCATTCCTTTAATCAGTAATAGACTTTAGAAAATAGACAAAAAGAGGTCATTATATAAAAAATACAAAATGTTTAATAGTAGTTTATGCGACTGAATAAGAAGGGGTATTAAAACACGAGTCTGTTTATCGATAATAGGTTGACTCGAGTGTTTTAATACCTAAATTATATGCACTTGCAAACACTACTTTATCTTCACTCATAGAAACAATTATAAAAAAAATTAAACAAAGTTAAGGTAGGTAACAAAGATGTATTTTACAAAACTTTTCTGAAATTCTGAAAACGAAACACGATCGGCAGAAAATTGTATGGGAAGCGTGGGAAATTAAGTTCAAACTACGAATGCGTGGACTTCTCTTTTCACACTCAGCCTAATATCATGGCCTAATAGATTACATTAAAAACTAAAATGTACTATAATGATAAAAAAGTTTACGATACAGCAGCAGTACTGTAATGAGTTTTATTTTTATGTACGTGCGTTATAAAGTAGGTCTTTTTAAATCTTTTCATAATAATGAATATTTCGACTTGAGTGTAGATATATATGTAGATTTACTTTAGAATTATTGTAACCTTAAGTAACATATTTATATTGCAACTACAATACCTTGTAAACTTCATAAATTAGTATTAAATAATAATTAATTAGTAATAGTGTGGAGAGCTCTGTCTTCTGGTTCTCAGGGTAACCTTTTCCAGAGGACAAGGTTCTAGATTATCATATACATACCAAAATTTAAAGTGGTTCCAATAAATTATTAAATGTCAAGGCAGCGCGCTTATAGAGAATAGAATAACAGTGGGCATTGAAGGGCTGCGTATGTTAAACTATGTCTAGGCAATCCTAGATCTTACTCTCGACTTCATATCGTTTTAATTTGTAAAACTAATCCAAATAAACTAAAATACTAACACACGAGTCCACTTATTGAGAATATCATGATCGTGAACGTCACTAATCACTTTAATGTGTTGTTTAAACGCATTGCAGTTTCTGGGGATTTTTTATAGGAAAAATAAAATTAACGTTATCTGTACGTACGAATGTTGTGTGTATGTGTGTGTTACCTAAGCTCACCTTATATCTCTTCCTGAACTGTTCCAACCTATCAGGGCTCTGAGCGCCCATCGGTTTGGTGAGATCCCGGAATGTGGCCGGGTCGTTGAGGTCCAACTCTAGAGAGTCGTAATCGGCCAATATCCAAGGGAACACGGGGTACTGCATCAGATCGTTGTAAGAACGCCCAGCGAGCGTGTTAAGATGCATCAGGTATTGGAAATTGGAGATCTCTCCGCGCTGCAATATAAATTTTGTGTTGACGTGATGATCTAATCAAGGTCATATTATGAGGTATGAAATTAAATCTTCGTTATATTTATATTTTTATGCATTCAACTGCTAATGTTTAAATAAAAAAAAATCACGCGGCCCGGGCGAGTACCGTCTGCTGCTTGGTCCACGTGTTTCTTTTTCAGATTTGAACATCTAGCAGTTGAATGCCTAAAAAATATAAATATAACTACAATTGCTATTTCTTCATTCCAATTCAAATAAATAAATACTTGTAAATGTATTTATTTGACACTGTGGGTTACCTACAATGCGAAGAGATGGCGCTGCCTTGCTGCCTAATAGCTCAACTACACTTGCTCGTTAGCCCATATTCAGGTGCACGAAAGACATTACTCGAATTCAGACACCCGAAGTAATATTTACAATGGAATACGTACTGGAACACGGTGTCAGGTAACCAAAACAAAAACTACCCGAATACGGGCGTACTCAACTTCGTTTATTTACACTTAGTCGTTTACCCGAATTCCATTGGCATCGTATTCAGGCTAACGACCAAGTGTAATTGAGCCATAATAATTAGTAGAAATAATTCGACACGGCCATTAGGGCCGTGGTAGCATAATGGTCAGTGCATTCGCCCGGATAGCGGAGGGTGCGGGTTCGAGTTCCATCTGCTGCCTGGTCTGCGTGGATTTTTTTCTAGTGGAGTTTTCTTTAATTGTGAATCTCATTATTTTCTATGTATCTGAAATGTGTGATTTATATACTAAAAGCCTTTCGAAAATAATATTTTCGCAGTAGTTTCTGGCATTGGATCGATAGTAAGACATCATCCACAACAACGATTTTTCCTAAAGTTTTTTCTAACATTTCTGAACATGATGTTCTTAAGTTGGACATAAAGTTGAAAACACAAAATAAGAGCGTTCTCAATAAATTAAAGTCAGGCTTTCCACTATTCCACCAGTCAACAGTTGCGTACAATGCGATGCCAAGTTAATGCGATGTAAAGAGAGCGCAAGTCAAGTGTGTTTTTAACTTTACGTACAACGTCCAAAATAGGGTAAACTGCAAAAAAATAACCTAGTCTTAAAAACGATATTGGTGTCGATTCTGGCATGATTCTCTCAACCTAAAATTACATTAGGCAACAGTGTATCCTTGTAATTCTCTATATAAAATGGAAAGGAGAATGTTGTTAAATCGACACCACTGTATACATACCAGCCAGCGCTGCGTGACAGACGTGTCGCCTATAAGTGTGGCGAGCAGACCGCCCGGCTGTTCCACGGCCACGCCGCGCTTCTGGCCCGCCACTGAGCCCGCGGCGCTGTCCGCCATGCCCGTTGCCAGTGCTGTGAATCTGCTGTACACCTGCGGCCATCGTATGATACCATATTTAGGGTGCTATTCCACCAGAGATGTGCTATGCAGCTATGCTGCGAGGATGTGTCAGCTAAGCTATGAAACTACGTGACCGTTTCCACTGACGCTAAGCTATATAGCGGGGCGAGTAAGATGTGCTATGAAGATGCGGCCGCAAAGTAGCTGCGCGAGCAAGATGCGCAGCTTGTTGGAGTAAACAGAGGAACAACGATTCATCTTCCGCCATGAGTTCTTCTTCGCACATTGCAAGATACAAAATAACTTTTTGCTTCCACGATAACATGTCTACTTTCAGTGACAAACGCGGGCACTCTTCTCTTGATATAGCTACACCACTCGCGGCTATCATAGCCCGCATCCATAGTATACATCCTTCCATATAAAAAATATAGCTTATCTGAATCCGTTTCCACCAGTGCTATGCTATGTGGACCAATGAATTTGATTGGTGGATATCAAACGCATCCACAGCAAATCTCTGGTGGAAAAGCTGCCTTAATCATCAGCTTATTAAAGTCTTCACTGCTGGGGCACAGGCCTCTTATGGACGGCATAGGGAGAATGGGGCACGCGGCATTAAAAATTATGTAAATTACGAAATCAACTTTATGTGTAAAGGTGCTGCTTTGTTATTGTTTGACAATACATCTCAACTCAACCACATTTTAACCTTTTGAGCGCCACGCCACAAACACATTTTCGTGAACTGTACGCCAATGGACTAATTAAACAAAAATACCTACGAAAAAAATAGTGTTGCCAAAAGTCGATATATAGGTAACACGCAGTGACTTGTTTTGTTGGTTTTTCATACAGTAAATAATAATATAGTAAATAGTACCTTTAATCGTTTTATTTAATATTGTGGTATCTCACACTCTTTGTATGTATGTAAGGACATAAATAAAAAACATTGCAAATAGAATAGTAGTTAACCACAAAACTACTGTCCATTGTGACGACTGGACGACGATGGTACCGCTGAGATTCCTTTTTTTAAACTTTCTTAGAGATGCAGTAGCTCTACCGCACGTTTAGTAACGATTACAAAATCGAGACTTGTTATCGGAGAAGTAGGCAAAGTTAAGCACAGAAAGAAGAACAGCGTTACGCTCTGATGACAACAAGGATTTGAGAAGATGCTGAGATATTTTATAAAATGAGAAAGAAAATAGCATAATCTTTGCTATGATGAGCAATAAGACATTTTAATTTGTAATTGTATATTATTAAAATAAAACATTGTACTCACTACTGATAGTCTTTAAATATTAAAGTTGTTAAATTGTCATCGAATAAAAATCAGTACTTATTTGGTAGCGTTAGGGATGCGCCGGAGTCACGGTAATATCTATACAGTATTCTATCTTCATATAAACGGTCGGAAAGCGAGTCATACCTACGCTACTCGAGTTCGCTCGGCACCCGGTGGGCATCCAGTCGCGAATGCGCCGCAGCGACGACCGAACGGTGTGAATTGTTTTTTAAGCAGTTAGCCGTGCTTAAACGTGCGATTTGTATAGTGAATATTTGATGGAATTAAGTAGATACCTACATAATTTAATATGGCAAAGAGCAATAGTCGATATTGTGCTGTTTTTGGTTGCTTGAACGCAACCAATAAAAAAACACATCAATTGTAAAGTACTTGCAGGTATATATAACCAAGTTAAAGATATTCCCTTTTCTGCTCCTTGCCAATGTTTCCCTAAAGTATTTTTAATTAAACTTTTTATACGAATGCGTATTTATTATACTATTAAATTTAATAATAAAGCTTTTCGTACGTCTCAGTCGAGGCGTAAATATTTTACTGTCTCAAATCTATAATTCTTTTTTATTAAATATTACCTAAAAATAACATGTATTTTATTGAACACTTCCTAATTCTGATTTTATTTATTTTTAAGCATTTAACTGCTAGATGTTTAAATCTAAAGAAAAGTTTACTAGAAAAAAAAAAATGCCGCTGCCTGGCCCGCGTGGATTTTTTTCTAGTAAACTTTTCTTTAGATTTGAACTTCCTAATTCATCCACAACATTTTTTTACATATAAAATAAAATATTTACAATCACAAAACTAGAAATAAACTCAATTTTGTAGATGAAATTAAAATACCGAAGGCGGGCAGCCCTATCGCGTGTTTGCGTACCGCTCGGCCGTAGGCAGTTATTTCAAGGACAGGGCCGAGTCAAGATACTGTATGGATAATAATACCGTGCCGGAGTTGAGACATTGGATTTATTAAAAATGCAAAATTGATTTGATGATTTCTTTTTTATTCATGTAGCTAATTATAGTTGTATGTTTCTTACCTTTGTCTTATTCAAATATCAATAACATTAGAAGTAAATAACACGGTTGAATTAATTTTTAAACATTTTTCAAGAAATCTATGACTCCCGCATTATGACTCTAGCCATAAAACTGGCAGACAATCATAGAAGACTTTGGGGTGTTGGTTATAGTATTTGCTTGAGCATGTTTTTAGTTTATAGTCCGGTCAAATTAGCTTCAAAAATAGGGGTAAGGTTACATTAATTCGCACCTAGCTGAAAATTGGCATGAATGTTGGGAACCCTATTACACACAATTTATCAATTATCCACATGAATCCAACGTGTGGGAAAAAAATATTCAAGGTCAAATGTTGCAAAAATCGGTTTTTCGAGTTTTCCAGCTAAGCGGTAAGTTTTATTATAAAAATATATCAGGCAAAAATTATTCATCATGCAATTGTCTATATCTATAAAAATTGTTCATACCCTTTTTTTCCTAATATTCACCATTTCGGAGATATAACGATGCAAAATGTTGAAAAAGTTGTATTCTTCATAATATGTATGTCAATTGCCGTTAAATACGTTACAGAACGATAATATAAGTTAAAAATATTAGTTTTCGTGGCGTATACATGCATACTATACAATTGAAAGAATATAAACTCGAAAAAAAATCCAGTCCCGTCCAGTCAGTCAGTCAGAGCTCCAAAAAAAATTACGAGCTTAGATAAGTTTCGATACTTATCTTTTGCTAAAAATACGCATAAAAAAACAAGTACAATTAGCTTGTCTTCCTCCAACCTCTGCTTCTGCTCAGCAACATCTATTTCGGGTATATTATCAAGTTCAAGTATGGCTCGGTAATAAACTAAACCCAGAAGACTAGGGTTGGAAGTTAATTGACAATATATTGGAACCAGTTAAGACTTTACTCCCTCCTGCACCAGAAAAACTCCTCAATTCATTTTTTTGCAATCGCAAAATGGGGTGTAATGCTAAATGCGGCTGTAAAAAAGTTATGTTGTTTTGTTCATTAGATCAGTTGTCGAGGCCAATCGTGCTCCAATATTCAATCGCCAGTAAAAGAGGATTCTTACGATATATGCGAGGAGACATCTGATGCATCGCTCTTTGAACAATTTATTTGTACCCAGCAGGAAGAAGAAGAAGAAGGAGAAGAAGAAGACCAAGACAGTATGGATTATGTTCCGTTAGAAGAGTATCAATCAGACGAATAATTTTCTCAAATTACTCATTACTTACACCGCCCTTGTCATTACAATAGTACCATTTTCAATTTAATACAATAGCTTTTAACTCAACAGAACCACAATAGATCGTGGAATAGGCCTACCGGGGAAACCACGGAAAAATAAAACGCACCATTTACACTACCTCACGGGTGGCGCGGAAACGTGTGCATATTATGAGTAACACAACTTTTTTAACTTTTTACATCGCTATATCTCCGAAATGGTGATTCTTAGGAAAAAAAGTGTCTAAACAAATTTTATAGATAATTGCATGATAAATAAATTTGTTTCGCCTATTTTTATGATAAAACTTACCGTTTAGCTGGAAAACTCAAAAAACCGATTTTGTTATTATATTTATATTATGATTGACCTTGAATATTTTTTTTTCCACACGTTGGATTCATGTGGATAATTGACAAATTGTGTGTAACAGGGTTCCCAACATTCATGCCAATTTTTAGCTGGGTGCGAATTAATGTAACCTTGAATGTCTATTTTGACCGGACTATTAATTATTACTTGGGTTTATTTATTGAGATATTCTATATTGATAAATGTAGACTTAAATTACCAGGAATATTTTTTCGATATCTTAATTTCACATTTTTGTGGGCCGTGTTTTTTGTCTGTTATAGACGTCGTTGGCGTACAGGGCCCGCAAGTGCTTGTCTAGTATATGAGTTGTATATGCGCTCAAAAGGATAAATAACTGTATCACTAAAGTAAATACGGGTATGTCACGAGTTCGAGTACTTAATACTATGTCAGAAAGTGATTGGCTAATTTCTTTTATTTTATATTACAAACGTAAATGTCTCTACAGTCAATAATAAATTAAATATTGAAATATAGGTAGGTTAAAAGTTAAGAGTGAGAATAATAGAACTGGAAATATATGGTTCTTTATAGTTTAATACATACCTTATTTCGCACTTTCCTTGGGAACGCAAGCAAATAATTTCTGCCATCGCTTGAAAAGACTTCTAATGCTATTGGTTGCAGCAAATATCTCCTTTTGTGCACTTCCCTAAAAGTAAAATACAATGATAAACATGGCTATCAACCATGGAAATCTACTCAGACGCGTAAAAATAGACTAGATGATAATTAAAAACCTACCGTATATCTTCGTACAAAAACTTCGAACACTGTCGCTGATTACTTCTTTGGATTCCTTGACTGGGAAGTATCGGCTCATAATCGTCAGGGCAGCTGTCTAAATCTCTGATTTCCCTATTTTTCAATAGCGTAAAGCCATCTATGACGTAGCAGTGTTCGCGACCAAACAATAATAAACCTTCAGTCGTATCCAGACCTTGAATTCTTGCACATCGAAACATATGCGATATCTGTAATAAATCCATACTTATATTATAAATCGCACCCTTAAGGCTGATTTAAAGTTCGGTAAGTACAGTAGCAAGTTTAGAAATCGAACGGTTCAGCAGTATGTAACTGGTAAATCCCTTTTCAAACGATGATAATAACTTAAGCCTCGGCGCACATATACGGTTGATCAGAAATTCCGATTCGGACTTAAATGTACGTACTTACTTTTTCAGAATAAAAAATAAACTTAAAGGTCCGTTCAGACTCTGACTCATAAAAAAAACCCGAAACGTCTGCGCTAGGCTCACGGAATTCCGAATCAGGAAAGAGTACATGTGCGCTCAGTCTTTTTCGCCAAGACCGTAAGTTACCTCGCTACTATACTTACCGATGTGTAAATCAGCCTTTAGAATAAAACTGAACTAATTCAAAAAACTCCATGATTTATAATTTTACTACAAATCAACCTTAAATAGCTTACTCTACAATCCTGTGAAGAAAAGTGAGACATCAACATTTTCGACTTAAGGTCACATTCGAAAGAGGATGGTGCGAAATATGAAAGTAACTTTACCTGTCTCTGTATTTTCTTTTCATACGTAAACGCTAAACCAATTTAGACACTACCCCCCTTATTACAAAACGCGTCCTAAAGTTTTGGTTTTAATGTAATATTGTCTTAGTCTTGTTTTTAGCAAACAAAAGTGATAGCATTCGTTTTAGTCCAGGTTTATCTTTAGTCTGCATTTTGTAGTAAGGTCGCGAGGGTTAGAATTTATACCTTTTCATGGTGTTCCAATAACCGTAGTAATGTTTGATTATCCGGAGGCGGAGGTTGCGGTTCATCTTCATCCTCGTTGTCGGGACCATCTTCACTGGCTAGAAAAATTAAGTAGACATATTAAACGGCCCTGAGAAGTAACATTACTGAACCACCTCTGAAGTCATTTTTCAATTTGACGACTCTGTAAATAATAAAACAGGGAGAAAATAACAGCCCTTGCTGAGTTTCTTGCCGGTTCTTCTCAGTACAAAGTCTCCTGCCGTAGATTTACCGAACCGATGGCGTAGCTTCTAGACATTCATGAGTGCTTGTAACAGCCTAAACTGAATAAATGATTTTGATTATTATTATGATTATTAACCTTTTATTTATAATCATGTACACTTTATTTGCATAAAACATAGTATAAGATGTTACATAAATTTTATCGAAGTACACATGTTTTGCCATCACATTTACACGAAAATTTTTAAAGATAACTAGTTATCTTTAAAAAATGGCCCGCCCTCGCTTCGCTTCGGTGTAGAGCTGTAGTGCAGGTAGACTATAGTTTTCACTTTTTAAACCTACCCTAGACCTCCACGAACATTTCAAGACCAGGATAAGATAAATCCGTTCAGCCGTTCTCGAGTTTTAGCGGGACTAACGAACGGCAATTGATTTTTATATATATAGATGGTGACTCTAAACTTAAAAGTAAGTTTAACACCAGTCCCTCCTTTTCATTCTGTATAGAGCATTCCAGGGATACACTGCTGACAAATTTAAGTTAAGGTTTAGAGAATCATGTCAGAATCGACAGCACTTTCAATTTTATGTAAAAGGTTTGAAGACTTACCTTCCCCCGATTGGTTATTGCCGCGGCTAACGACGCCGCTGCTGACCAAATCCGATGGAGAACCTTCGCCGTTTGCCTCATCAAGGGATTGTTGATCTCTGTTACTGTAAAAGATGGAGTACGTAAAATAACAAATATCGACTGTAAACAGGAAATATATCCTATGTTAAGAAAATTTTACCAGGATTTTAATCCAGGCATCTTCTAGTAAAATTCATCACATTTTTTTTATTTATAAATCTAGCAGTTAATTGCTTAAAATTAAAAATATACTAAAATAAATGTCCTATCTTATTTTTTTTCCAAAATGGTGATTCATCATGTCCTTTTTATAAAATTTCTAAATACCCGTGTATAAATAAATAATTTTAATCCTTAAGAGGGGAGGCGGGCAATGTTTTTTCCATAGAAACGTTCTCGACTGATTCCTCCTTGATTTTTATCACTAAAGAAATGATTTTCATAACTAAAATAAAATTTTACTCATTCTTTGTTCCTATGTCTTCCTTTTTTTGATAACTTGTGTTTCAATGAAACTAGCTTCTAGTTAAGTTAGCCCAAAAAAGTCATAAATAAACATTTTTTTATCACCAGTAAAGACGTCTAGTGTGGAGACTCAATAAGCATTTATAAAAGAAGCAAAACATAGAAGCCTAGTATAACTGTTTATTATTCTATTGGTAAAATTTATTTTATATATATCAAATTTTTCGAGGAGGAAATCGTCGAGAGCGTATTTTGCAATTTTAATAGGCAATTTTCAGCGTTAGCTACTGTTGTCCTTATCGCACGGTATTTACCAGTGCACGACAGCATTAGTTTATTCAAATACCTATTTTTCAAATGTCTCTAAGCTCGCGTCCACTCTTAACCAGGCTATGGATTGAACATCCCGCACATAGATTTTTGAAGGTTTTTACCAGGTTTTGATAAAGAATCTATACAGAAATATAACCTATGGTCGCACAAAAAAAACTTAAAATGGAACGAAAATATCACTTTTACGACCATTTTTTCTGTGGTCGTCCGTCTAACGGTTGATTTTTTGAAAAGTACAGCGTATTTTATTAATAAATGGCGAATTGGAAAAATAAGTCGTGCAATTTTATTCTTCGATATGTTGTAAAATTTTAGTTTTTTTAGTGATAAGTGCATAAATTATACGAAAATATTTGTAAAAAAAAAACATGATATAACTAAGTAAAATATGTGAGGAACCATATGACCTTAACCTGTGAAGACCTAATTATTGTGGGAGTTAGATGTCCATTGCCCCATTGATTTGAAATATTTATTTTGTACTAGAATTTTACCGCGGGTTTTATTTTTTGGTTTTAAATTTTATTTAGATTTGCTCACGGTAATGTTTCATGCCAAGTAAAGAAGAAATAACGTTTTACTGTATCAAAATATATATCGTGGTTAATGGTAAACTTTTGTCAACATTGCTTTGTCAGTCAGTATTTATTTACCTTCATCTAGACAGGCATGGGATTATGATTTCCCACATGCTATTTGAGGAAATTTCCTGAATAAAATCTCAAAGTAAACATTATAACTTATATAAATCAATAAAAAAAAACACTATTACAACAGGATTTGTCCGCGGCCTGGTAAAGGGTTAAAGGAAAGAGTTTTTGATAACATTAAAATAACTACAAATGTCATAAATAAGCAATTTTTTTTTTCTTCAATAGTTCTGAACTTTAAGATATATCCTACGTATTCCCGGTTCAGTTGTTAAAGAACATTGAAAGAAAATTAATCTTCATATCACTTACGCAGAAACATCTTCTTGATATACTTGAACATCGGCCGTTTCCACGCCCTCCACCTCGTCTAAATGATTGCCTGCCGTACGCCACTGCTGATAAACCCTGTAGTACTCCTTGCTGTCCAAGCTTTGTGCTACTTTGTACTTGAGCTGCTTCTGTTAAAACAAAATGTGGTCCAAATTGTTACATTTTTGAATAATTACACAGGCCCACAAAAAAAGTACCCAGCGCGAAAGACCAGACTACCTGAACTTCATGTTATCGGGGTCGCGGAGTCCAAATATGGTGCCAGAATAGCTAAGTAGGTTCTCGTTTTTTTCAGAAATCAGCAATAATGATGAAGTTTTTTGTATAATATGGTTTATGTTGTTAAAAAAATGCGAACCAACTTCGCTATTTTGGCACCATATTTGGACTCAGCGACCCCGAAAACAAAGTTCAGGTAGTCTGAGTCTTTCACGCAGGGTACTTTTTTTTGTGGGCCTGTATTATGAAAAGAAGAAATCATAAGGAAATTGAAAAAGTCTTTCATTAAGCCTAGACAACAAACACCCATGAAAGTGAAAATGTGTTTCTTAAAGATATTTTTATAACTATGTGTTTACTGTATATACAAACTGCTCCCATCTAATCAGAAAAATGTTGTTTCACTTACATAAAGCGAAAGAATTCAAACAAGTCTAGTATACACAATTTCTTATGCTGTACTACAAGATGTTTGGCAAGAATTAGAATAACGTATTTTCGTATAAGGCGATTGCATGTCGGCTGTGAAGTCAGCGGAAGTCGTAGCGTAGTAAACGAAATGTGAACTGTTGCGCCTCGTATAAAGAAACGTAGGGTGATGTACCAGCGCATAGTTAGCGCATGATGCTAACTTCACAGCCGTATATGAATTAAATCGGTCTATAATTATCAATTACACTTACATTGTCGGGATGGTCGAGCTCAGCACGATACGGGTAGTGGAAATAGAAGGCGGGGTTGTGGCGGAGCATTTTCCTCATACGGCAGGGGCCTTCGGTGAAGTCTAGGGCCCATTTTCGTAGCGGATCGGGGCGTGCAGGGCCCCACAAAGCGCGTTCCCTGGTTAATTCTCGCCATGCGCTGGCCCATTCCGCTCGTACATAGCGAGTGGTATGCTCGGCCGTTTGAGCGCTCGTACGCAACTGTCCGCACCAGGCGCTCCTATACGATGTTTAACAAAAAATAAACTTTGGACGCCTACTCCAATTACATAAAAAATCGAAATGTGTGATGGGACACATAGTAGAAGTGAAACTTCAAGGGACAAATCTCCCTCTCCCGCTCCGACCGCGAAAAATATCGTGTACCCCCTCCACGTCGCCATAACGCTTTTTCGTGACAGGCAAAGCCTAATGATAACCTATGTCTATATAGAAGTTTCATTTCAAAATTTTGCTTTATTGATATGAGGTGGGACCCTCGCCACGCACTTGCCCATTCCGCTCGAGCATAGCGAGTAGTATGCTCGGCCGTTTGAGCGCTCGTACGCAACTGTCCGCGCCATGCACTCTTAAACGTTAATCACCAAAAATAAAGTATGTTCAATTACATGTAAGTTAGATTCTTGATACGAGGGAAGTAACGTCAAGCGTGCGGTGAAATTACACTAAAGTACAGGGCGCCAACCCTGGTCACCTCTCGCTACGAGCTTGTCCAATGCTCTCCGCAATTCGAAGAAAAAGCTGCAAACAGATGTCATTGCATTCGTATGCAATCAATCGGTTCGATGTTCTTGTGAAATTGTTTATCGGATTGCTGATCATGACGCAAGTAATCGAGCGTCACCAAAAATATTTTGGTACAACAAACAATCCTTATTGTTTGCGATAATGGTAGATTTCGTCATGATTCTCTTAACCTAAACTTAAATTGACAACAGTGTATCCTTGTCATTCTCTATACAGAATGAAAAGGAGAGGCTGATGTTAGGAGACCATGATGTTAAATTTTGTTTTAAGTATAGAAAATCATGCCAGAATCGACACCAATGATAGCTTACCTGACTAATTGTACATGATCCTGGATGTATGCAAGGGCGTGGTCTCTGGGCAAATGAGGCCGCTGCTTGGCGGAATCTTCCTTCTTAACCTTAGTTCTAGATGCTAGGCGCGTCAAACCACCGGTCACTTTCTGGATCTTCGACTGTATCTGATTATGGAGCTCCCATGGGACTCTGTACACAGCCTGGGGAAGCCAAATTATTAACTCTTACCAGTTACACAATAACTTAAGACATAAACATACAAATCTTACATGTTGGTGGACAGCGATTAGGTTCCAAGAATCATTTGACAACATGGGTCATGACTAAAGTTCGGATAATCGGATGCATATGTGGCGGCGACATCTACATGCCCCACATATAATAAACATAGAGGAAATAGTCACTCGCCTCCTTAAGAGATCGCGCTACCGGCGCTACGTTCACAATGTATGGAAGCCTACATCGCGCAAGAGAAATTCGGAGCCAAACACTCAATATATACGATGCCCGACCAACATCAGTCGGGCCGCGGCCCCCGAGCTAACATCACCCAGCTCGGAGGAAGATCTTCCCCTTTGGCCTTCCTACAGCATATTTACCTAAAATTGTTTTTTGGTTAACAAATCATGGAAGCAGCTTCATAGGATATTTAATTAAAAATAAAATCCCGGGGCCCCGTGTTCACATAACTAATCGGATGTATAGTTACTTAAAGTAAAAGGACAATGGGCAAAACACACCCCGCTCCGCCAACAATGTAATTAGTATGAATCGATAGATCTATGAAAAACTAGTAATGTCGTTTGTGCTAAACTGGTTTATTAGATCTCATGGAGTTTAATTTCTCGGAATAGTGGAATATTTTCGATTAAAAACTGCATTCCATAATAGCCAGCATCTGAACTTTAGGTAAATATGCATCATATAATATCCTATCGTATTTGATTTATCAATATAGCTAATATTGATAAATCAAATACGATAGGCTAAAATAAATTATTACACTATGTTTTCAGCTATAATAATTAATCGATTTATAATGCCATAATTATTTGTGATGTGATAATTATATTATTGACTACGTAACGATAGCTTAATTTCATCACAACACATAATAATTATTAACTCGAAACTTGTATTCGCACCTTTAACATTACATGACAGTTAAAGTTAAAGCAAGTTGGTGTCAGTCAACTTTGACAAAAGTTGACTGACACCAACTCCACTTTGATTAGATGCCGACGTCAAAGTGCGCATTGATTGCTATTACACGATCAAAGTAACCTCAAACTAGTCATCAAAGCTACTTTGTCAAAGCAGACATTGAGCATGTCAACTCGGCTTTAGACATACAAAAGACTTTGACATATATCTACCAGATAAAAGTAGTGGAAAAAAGCTACTGACCATGCGTTCCGTATCAATGTAGTTAATCCATAACTTGTGTGCGCTTTCGTTCAGTTGTTCGCTGACCGCGGTGAGATCAGGAGCACGAGCGTTGCCCACCGGTGAGAATGAGAGTAACACTACATAAATAGGATAGAAGTAGTGGAAAAGAGCTACTGACCTTGCGTTTCGTATCAATGTAGTTAATCCATAACTTGTGTGCGCTTTCGTTCAGTTATTCGCTGACCGTGGTGAGATCTGGAGCGCGAGCGTTGCCCACCGGTGGAATGAGGGTAATACTACATAAATAGAACAAACGTAGTGGAAAATAGCTACCGACCTTGCGTTCAGTATCAATGTAGTTGATCCATAACTTGTGTGCGCTTTCGTTCAGTTGTTCGCTGACCGCGGTGAGTTCTGGAGCATGAGCGTTGCCCACCGGTGGAATGAGGGTGATACTACATAAATAGGACAAACGTAGTGGAAAATAGCTAACGACCTTGCGTTCAGTATCAATGTAGTTGATCCATAACTTGTGTGCGCTTTCGTTCAGTTGTTCCCTGGCCGCGGTGAGGTCTGGAGCGCGAGCGTTGCCCACCGGTGCGATAAGGGTCATTTTGAACACTTCTTCTATGGCTGGCTTTTTACACGCGTACAACTCTTCCCAAACTCTGCGCGCGGCCCCAGCCATTAGGTTACGACCTATTTAAATTTATGTGAAAGTTCATATGGGTTGCCAGTTTAAGGCGACTTACACTTGAATCCCATCTCAATTACTATTAAGATTGGATAACTACAAAATAGACGAGCATATAATTCAATAAAAAAAAATTAAGCTATGTGGAGTAAGTATTGTGAAGATAGGAAGCAAATTAGTTTTAGAGATTAATTAGTGCCTACATCAAGAAGGTTTACCACCAAAAAGTACCATTTTAATTCATGTTTTAAGGGCCCAAGGTTTTAAAATAAACTTTGAAAAAGTCATTGCTTATGTTATTATGTGATTTGTTTCAGTACCTTGATGAGTAGTGAGTTTGTCATCCCTGGACTCGAGGTCTCCGCTAGGATTGACGTGCCACGTAGTTCGCATGTGCGAATCCAAAGCTATCTTCATATTAGAGCTCAACTGGAGCAAGCAATAGGTAAGGCATCCGATGAATTCTAGTTCGTGATTGCCGGCGCCGAAGATCAGTAACCTAATAAGATATCGTGATATTTTAATTTCTTTTTAGTTTTCTAATAGCTTTAAGCAATTAATGCGAAAATATAATATATTTTCAGTCACAGCGTATTGTGTGTAGTTATGTAATTTTTAACTTCGTTCCAACGGAGTGATCCATGACACTCACGATTGCTTTTTCTTTTGTTGAATGATATTTAATATAATATACATGGTTATCACAAACCTGTTAGTAGTAAGTTTGTGAAGCGCCTCAAGAACAGACATTTGGTCCGCGATGGAGTCTGTAGATCGAGATAGTAAGAACAAGATAGTTCTGTTTAAACAGTGGTGCAAGCCTTCTAATGATATAACTGAGGATTTCTTCTTTGCTTGCGTAACCAGTTTAACAATAAAATCAAATACCTAAAAAAAATTTTTTTTATAGAGCAGTTGCGAAGTATACAAGTGTTTCGTTTAAGTACACAAAGGTAAAACTAGATTAATTCTTCACAATACTTTTTGTAATGTATCTTTATACAGGAAATGGTGAAGAAATTAAAAGTGACCATTTACAATGCAGTTCTTATAGTACTGTTACGTTTTGATTCGAAAAATAACATGTATAAACAATCATTAAAATCGAAAACATACTTTTTACCTCTTCTTTTATTTTATATGAAAATATACTTAGATTTCTTATCAAAAGATGCCTAAAGGAAGATGCTTAAATTACCAGATTCATCGGATTACTTACTTCATGTGGATCTCTCGATAACTGCCCCTGCCATAGCTTGTCAACTAGTCTCGCTGCTAGATAACACACGTTAGAGATATTCGACTCCGTATTAAACAACTCTGTGTTCAAAAGATTTTCCATAAGTGTAGTAAGTACTTCCGTCTGATATTCGATTTGTTGTTGGCTTGTCGAGTTAGCAGGTGAAGCGTCCAACACTAGATCGATTACCTACGACAAAGCAATTAGTTTGGTAATCAAGACCGCAATGTTTTATTTCATGTAATGGTGCATGCGTATTTGTTAGTAGATGTTATAAAATAACAAAATCTTGTTGACATTTATTTTTATAAGTCTAGTTTCTTATGTTCTGTTACTAACTTTTTGCTAAGTCTACCGGTAGATAATACCTTGGAGCATTAAAATTGTTATTTTTACCTTCTCACGTGTAATTTAATGAAAAAACAACGAATCGTAGGAGATACATTGACATATTATCAATAAATGATAATTTTTAAAATTACATTTCACTAAATAGACAGCCAAACGAGCGTCCGCTGTAATAGCAGGTAAATATTCGGCCAAACAATAAGCTGTTACGAAAAATAATAAGCGTGTTGTGATAAAAAATACAAATAGGCATAGGTAAAATGAAACAAGCCTTTCAGCCATGCAAGATATAGGATATATTTAAAAAAAGGAAAATAAAAAAATGCCCATATTTACGCAATAAAAAAATGATCTTGGAGCTGAGCAGGGGCTACATGACGCACAAAACATTGATGGTGGCACGGAATCCGAGCTTACAGCGGCCGCATGGCTCTAGAACGAACGTCGGACTCCAATCAATTGACATTTTAGCTGACGCCGATATTACAATGTTTAGTTAAATCGATTAGTAATTTTCCAAAAAACATTGAAATTCGTTAATTTGCCCTTTTTATAATTCTTTTTAAATTAGCTTGTTTGCTTGTAAAAATTGCGTAGGTAAATTAATCCCTAAATTTTCATCGTTTTCGTTTCGTTTCAAAGCAAGACGACTTATCAGTATGCATTGTTTGCAAATCAATAATGACCCTATTAAATTGGATATTTTATTGAATACTCAGTAAAACTAAGATCACCAACCCAGTGTTCAGGCCATAAGCGCGCTCACTTTAAAACAACATGCACATCGAAAACGACAATATTCCACAAATCAAGATTTACGACAACAAAAAACAGTCACAACATTAAAGGTAACATACTATATTCTATATCACAAAGTTTACGACATTGAACCTACATCTATTGCACGGTGCGGTGGTTACAGGAGAACTTTTGCTATGTCTAACTGCAGTTTAAATCGTAACAGAACACCACACACACAAACAGATGGTAACAAGACTTTTGTGGTGTTAGGTTCCTTAGGTATTACAGCAAATTTTTAATTTCATGATTCCTATAAACTAGTGACTTGGAGAGAGTAAATGGTATTAAATCAGTTATGTAGATATCAAGTTAAAAAAATGAGATTCATATTTATATTTAATTTAATCTAAATTTCTTTACTTATTCATGCCATCATCATTATTGTAATTTAATAAAAATATAATGGTAATTAAGCATCACAGGAAAACATAACTTTGTGTCATAGAACAAATAAATATTTAATATTAGTCTTCGACTTACCGGTGCAGTTTTTCCGGAGACATTGAGGGGTAGTGAGTCGAGTACAATGACCCGCAGAAAGTCCATGACGCCTTGTCGAGCAGGATGTTGCGTCAACGAAGCGGAATTGCTAACGATTACTACCTCTTTCTCCGAGCCTGGTGTGGAAGCGCCAGAACTTTCTCCACTCTCACAAATCGCTGTGGAAAACCAATACAATCTTCCCTAAAAGTCACTATTTAAAAATAACGCATCACATAAGATAAGAAAATTTCAGTGTACGATTGTATATTGACATTGTAAGTGAAATGAAGATAAGGATACATGGCATAGAAGAGGTTTATAAGAATAATCAAAACAATCTTATTGTTGCTTCATAGAATTTTATAAAAAAACAGTCTTGATTTTAATTTCTTACACATGAAAATAAGTAAAGAAACTCACGCATATGGATATCATCAGTAGCATTAAGCGGGAACAATGTCGATGCCAAAGCGGTCAAAACTTCAGCGGTCATCATTATCGTTACGAAGTCCGGTAACGTGTTGTAGAGAGAGAAAAGCACCTACGATGACATATACTTATATTTAACAGGGACAATTATAATTAAAATTTCTTTCTATTTTTTTAAGCATGTAACTGCTCGATATTTAAATCTAAAGAAAATATTACTAGAAAAAAATCCATGCTGACCAGGGGACCAATCGCCTAACGGAAATGCTTTGGAAAACGCTAACGCTTTCGATTTTATTTTGTTATTTCTGACCGCCGAAGGTTTTCAAATACCTCACGCTCATTTTTTTTTATAATTGTTATTACCAATGCAAAATTAAAAAAAAGAGCGCGAGGCATTTGAAAACCTCAGGCGGCTAGAATTAACAAAATGAAATCGTAAGCGTTAGCGTTTTCCAAAGCATTTCCGTTAGGCGAATGGCCCCCAGGCAGCAGACGGGACGGTCTATGGATCAATTTAAATGCTAGTTCGATTAATTTGCGCCAAAAAAGTATACATAAGACCCAGTGGCGTCAACTGGTGACATAAATTTTCCTAAACGTCCTCATTGATCAAAAAGGGACCAAATACATAATTAATATGGTAGATATTATAAAGAGAGGTTTACTTGTATAATCGTGACGGGGTGGTCGTTTAGCCACTCGGGCATCGATCCTGGCTCGGCGTGAACGAGAGCCCTCACAGCTCCTAGCAATATAACGACGGCCTCAGGACAAAGCGTTATTCTTGCCGCGACAGCTGCTGAAGATTGCCTCGAAGGCGCCGCAGCCCCCCAAGCAGCGCCCCATACGCGTTCCACAGATACTGTTTTATCGGAGCCTACGTTACGCATGGGCTGCCCGAGTGTAAGTCCAAATAAGAGGTAGTACAGCTCCGGTATTTGCAAATGTGATAGTATAAGCCTGAAAAAAAGCAAAGTAATTGTATTTGTGTTAAAATACAACACAATTTCAGCAATATCAGGAATATTGCTGAAACTGTGAAATAGACAGTGTGTACATTTTTTATATGCTGCTACTTGATCGAAAACGGCATGGTTTGGCTTAGTATAGAATGTCGTCACAAATTTGTATTTTTGTTAGTTGTCTCATTTGACGTTAAAATGACAGTCGTGTGATGTCACAAGTCTGTAAGACGCTACATTTCCCAGAGCATCATTACCACAATATATTTGAAACTTAAGTTTTTATTACAAATGTTTTATTGAGATACATAAAACAATGAAAACTAACCACTATTAATAAGGAACCCTTAAAAACTAGTAAATAACGTAGGATGATTAAAACAATTTTGTCATGTACCCTGTTTATTATTAAAAATACACTAGACGCCCTGAAAAATTTATTTAGTATTAAAATTGTTGCAAAAAGTGATTATGTCTTATGAAGACTAAGTATGCATACCATAGTGAAGCTGGAGGTGTGCAGCAGGCAACATCACGTCTGCCAGTTGCGGCGTGTGACGTAGCCAACCTTCGTTGCCGGCTTCTTCTGTGGTCATATTACTATATGTAGACTCAAGTATACATACCAGGAGAGCATAGTGAAGCCGGAGGTATACAGGTGTGTGTGCGAATTTACGGCCGCTGGCAACATCACGCCCGCCTGTTGCGGCGTCGCTGTTACTTCCGTGGGGCGGAGACATCCTCCGTGGCCGGTACCTACTGTGGAGATTATCATATGAAGACTAAAGTTTACGTACCAGGAGAGCATAGTCAAGCCAGAAGTGTGCAGCAGCGACGCGTGCAGGTGCGTGTGTGAATGTACGGCAAGGGCAACATCACGCCAGCCTGTTACGGCGTCGCCGTCACCTCCGTGTCATGTGGCGGAGACTACTTCCGTGGCCGGCGCCTACTGTGGGGATTATTGTATGAGGACTAAAGTATACATACCAGGAGACCATAGTGAAGCCGGAGGTGCGCAGGTGCATGTGCGAATGTATCGCCGCAGTCAACATCTCGCCCGCCTGTTGCGTCGTCGCCGTCACCTCCGTGGGGCGCAGACAACCACCGTGGCCGGCACCGTCTGTGGGATTATTATATGAGGACTCAAGTATACGTACCAGGAGAGCATAGTGAATCCGGAGGTGTGCAGCAGCGATGCGTGCAGGTGCGTATGCGTGTGTACGGCCGCGGTCAACATCACGCCTGCCTGTTGCGGCGTCGCCGTCACCTCCGTGTGTCGTAGCCAACCTCCGTTGCCGGCGCCTTCGCGGAACCTAAGCGAGCGCCACGTGAAGGTTAACAATAAATATTTAATTGACGTTGAGTAAAAAAAATATTCGAAGAAATACTAACGTCCGCAGTCAAAAACGTCAGTTAAATTAAATTCTTTATTAAGACACGTAGTGTCGTCTTATTCTAAGGCAAAGACAGTGACAGCATCAAATTTACTTACAACTTAAAAAATAGTTGAAGTCTATGGGTTATGAAAAACGTAATTTTAATTTCACAGTATTTTTTATGTTTTTGCACAAAAACCTACAATATGAAGGATTATAGTTTTGGAAACAATATTATTAAAGAATACAACGATAAAGTTGAATTATTGTTTAAATCCTGATAAATCAACTTACCTTTGCATTATCGCAGATTGCTGTCCCTGCCCTGAACATAATATAACTAGGATCCTCAATGCCCACAAAACAGTTGTATGATGTACATTTTCTTGCATGAAACTCAGCAACCAATCCAAGCCCAGCACTCTAGACATTTCCTCACATACAATGGTGTTCACCAGATTTCGCGCGGTAAACAGTAGCCCGTGCAAAACATTGAAACATTTATTTCGCAGTATAATTTGTTCGCCTTCGCATTCCTTTTCGCAATCGCTTTCTTTGAGATTCATTCCTTTTTCAGTTTGTGTCGGTAGAGGTAACGTATATGCCATAAATTGGCCTAAACACAGCAAATCACTAGGCCGCGGTTGACCACCTAATAACGCTGCTAAGAGTTGAATCAGAACATTCTTTGTGCTAACGACTTTCACGTCGTTTATAACGTATAGAAGTTTAGAGACCAGTTGAAGCTCTCTCATTGTGCGTAAGTTGTGCGTTCTGTGCGCTGTTTCTGTAGCGAGTTCTAATAAATGCTCGAGTAAAGATTTAATTAGTCCGCCTGGCGCACCCAGCCAAACGTCTAGTTCACATATTAAATCCTGCAAAGCAATAAGCTGGAATAAGCCAGAGTAATCCTACTAAATTATAAAATCATGAAATCACATTCAAAATCTTAATATTGATTAGTTTTAACTACCTGAAAAGCTGTCAAATTGGGTATAGATGAGGTCTCCTTCTGACTATCGACTGTTCCAACTAAACCGAATATGAGATGCAATATGTGGGAATTCAACAACTGCTTCTTCCTTTTCAAAAGCATTGCTAGTGTCTGGTAACCTCTTCTGCGATCCATTTCCGCTTGAGCTGCTTTATTAGATCTAACTACACACACCAATGCCTTTACGCCTGCGTAAAGACACTCTACGTCTTGTGCCATTGCTATAAGGCCAAGTAATACCGAACATCCACCAACTGTGTCAATCTGAAATTTTCGTATGATTAGAAGCTATTGACTAATGAAATGCTATGTTTAGAATTATTTTTCTACTAACTCTCCATATCATATGCCTTATTATCAATACAACTAGAATTTAATATTTCTAAAGTTATATTGTTGCGCCTTAGTCCGAATCAGCATGTAAAATAATGCTTATAAAATAATATTTCGCGGCGATTTAGACCAAAAACATAAAAGCCACTAATTAATTTTAAGGGCTCCCATACAAAACTGCGATGCGACGCTACGAAATTGCTGCGATAGAAATCCGTGAGGCAAAGCTTTGATTACAGTGACTTCAACGGTAGTCAGCCGTATTAGGCGTGTTTAAGTAAAAGTGACATGGATCGCAAAAAGATTGTTGCGCTGCTGTTATTGTTAAATAATATAGAAGGCAAAAGAAGATTTTGTGTTCATTCATTTATTGCGATCATGAACGCTGATGGGAACTATTTTACTCGAAAGTACTATGGTTTGATAATAGAAGATGTTGTGTTTTATTATTTTAGAATGAGCATATCTTCAATTGCAGAAGTTTTGAGTTTATTATCACTATGTCTACAAAAAATATCGTACAAGGGAAGTCTCAGAGCGGACTAAAATCGTGTCACCAAGTGTGACGTAATATCTCCGAAATGTGCGATGCGAATCAGATCGGAAGCATTCGTGCGAATGCGAATTCGCAGTTATGTGTGGGAGCACTAAGTCATCGGAATAAACATTAACTTTATATTGTCTCAAACGCTCTCGAACCAAAACCGCGAATTTACTGGAAACGGATTTGACCGGAGCGCCGCGGATCGCGACGTGAATGATCGCAATTGAAATCAAGTGATGCGGTTCATTGTAATGAGCCTAATGCAGTGTGGCGTTAGGGTGAAAGTGCAACAACATCTGCGCTTCTTTACAACTCATGCGTTATACTACTCCTTAAAACTAGCGTGTTAGTCAACTCTCACTGGCACTGGACTTTTCTGGAATGCGTCAATTGGCGTATATAAGCGCGATCGGCGCCGCGCAGTTTAGTTTCAAAGTGATAACAGTTGAGTTTCTACAGCGATTTCAGAAGCAATACATAGGCGTCCAAAGTGCAAGTAAAGTATTCAAGTGCAATTGTTTAAAGACTTGTATAAGTGTAGTATTGTGTTTAAGAAAGAACTGTATGGTGAATAAAGAAAGCGTAAACTGGCATATAATTTCGAACCACATCCCGACACGTAACAATATAAACAATATTTTTTTACACAAAAAAGTCATTAGAGGAGAAGGTTGAAGAGGAGAGGAGAGATTACTATTTATAATTATAGAATCTAAATTTTGAACTTACCATTATAGCAGCCGGTTTGGAGCAAAACACTCTGACGCCCAAATATCCCACAACAGTTCCTCCTAAGCATCTAGCTGGTCCCATTAAATGTCCGGCTGAGTTGTGCAGTATCCTTATAGGCGTCGCGTTTTCATGCGAAGACATACCGAGTTGCTTCGCTATCGCTTTGTTATCGTTCTTACTATAAACTTTGCGGATTTTTGCTAACGTGAGTTGGGACATCGCGCGCGCATTTATACCGAATACGACTTTCTCCTCAGCCACTATTGGTGCTAATGGCTCCTGATTCTGTCCAGGTAATTGCGGCGCTTGCAATGTACCGACGTAATGGGGTCCGAGTTGGTATATCACTGCGACCATTTGAGCTGGCAATACCTAAACAAATTACAAATAGTGAACAACATTTAAGCAAGTGCATACATTTTTATGAATGGAGCAATAAAAATAGTCTCAATATCTTACCTATCCTAAGTGATAATGAGATTAACGATATATGGACAATCGACTTTTTGTAACAGTACTATTAAATTATTAGTTTATACACAGCTGTTATACATTTACATAGCTGTAAGTGACAAAAAAATTATATTGATTTTCGTATAGGTGACAAAGGTTAAGGATAAACTATTAAGACATTGGTTTAAAACACTGTTGACAAACATATCTAGTCCAGAATGGAAGGAGTTTCATGACGTGGCGATCATCATGATATTAAATACCCTAGATTCACCACGTGCGCTCAAAATGTGTCCCAATCAAGAAGTGCTTGAACACCACTCAAGCACTTCATAGTTCACAGTCACGCGCGGACCGTTGAAAAGTCAACATGCAGCAGAGCTCCGTGAAAAATGCGAAAAATAACCTTTTAGTACGTAAAGTGTCGTTTTTTCGACAGGTACCTAATCAATGTTTGTTAATTTAACGCATTTGAAGCAAATTTTGTTGTAATACTTACTATAAACTGATTTAATAGAAAATATTTGTGATATTCAAATGCATGGTCGGTAATATTGCCGACTCTTTTCCTCGCAAGACAAAGAAATAAGGTCTATATTCTTCTGCATATAGCAATAAGTCGTAAAATTTTAAGAGCTTGCGTTACGAACAGTCAGAACTCTTTGACGCATGCGTTTCAATTAAGACCTTATACATACCCATTCATTAAAGGTGACTTTAAATGTTTAAGTAATTTCTTATATTGTTTTTGACTACGCGATCATCTTACAGAGCTCCGGGGATCGTCCAATGCACCTTTTGGACATATTTTGGCCACGATTTTGTTCGTGATGTTGTATCTAGGGTATTTAATATCGTTCGGCGATCACGTAGTTTTGTGCAATTCAAACTTTATAGCGGCTGTGTAGGTTAACATCGGTCATAACTTTTGAAAAATATACATTTGAAACAACTATTGCTATCACGCATTGGTAAATACCGTGCGATAGGACAACAGCAGCTCCCGCGGAATATTGGGAATAAAAATTGCAAAATTCGAGGTTTGGCTCTTGACGATTTCCTCCTCAAAAATTAGATATATGCAAAAGATAATTTACCCATAGAATAATAAGTAGTTGTACTAGACCTCTACATTTGCTTTTTTTGTAAATGCTCATTGAATCTCCACACTAGACGTCTTTAATGGTGATAAAAATTATGTTATTTTGGCATCTTTAAGCGCTTCTAGTTTCTTTGAAAAACAAGTTATCGAAAAAAGGAAGACATAGGAGCACAAAATGAGTAAAATTATATTTTGATAAAAAAAATCGGAAAAGGTAAAAATTACGAAAACCGAAAATTCCTTTTTGGTTTTTATAAAAAACAAAGAAATGATTTTCTATTGTAGGTATAAAAAAAACATTGACCTACTCCCCAGTCCCCCCTTAAGTTTGAATCGCACCATACACGCTCGACTCGCGTAGTGCAGCGGGCCATGTAGTGAGCGGGCGCCTGTTCTCTTTTATCCAATGGTGCTTTATAATTGACATTGTGATCTATATTAGAAATTATTATTTTGACTTTTGGATTTTTAACCATGTATTTAATCTTGAATGACGTTTTATAAAATTAAGCTGACACCTTTTGTAATTTCACAGAATTATTATTTATTTGATAATAATAATAATTTTTATTTGCAATAAATTACACGTACTTACATGGTAATATTCTTAAAAGAATATTTACACTAAGGCTAATATATTACATTAGATATTAAATGACATCTTCAGCCTGATGAATTTAAATTGATCACTATTGATATTGAAAAATGATGTCACAATGTAAATGAATATGTATTAGGTTTAATAATGTACTGTAAAATATTTGCATGCTATTTTAGATGGCTGATTGGGCCGAAGTTCAAAATTGTAAGATCCCTAGGGTACCCTATTCAAATGCAATTAAATGAATTGTAATTGTAATTCCTGTCACTGGGCTGTACTCACGTCCTCCAGCAGCAGCGCGGGCCCCTGTCGCCACACGAGGCGCGAGTACCGGCGCCACTGGGGCGGCGTGCCGATCACGCAGTACACGCTCGAAGCGCCGGACAAAGTCGCCGCCCCACCCCCGGGGTTAGCACTCACGTAGTGCAGCTTGCCGGAGTGCATATGCTGACCTATTGCACAAAAAGAGATAGAACCAAGTGTTTTTTTTTATATAGATAGGTCCGACAAAAGACTCCGGCCCACCTGATGTTAAGTGACGGTGAAGTATAGACCTGAAGATAGCTGGTATAGCAGTTCTACCTGCCACACCAGCCATCCTCACCCTGCCGGCCTACATGTTACTTCTTCAAGTCTCTTTTAAATGATCCCAGGTTGTAAGAAGGAGGGAACACGTGAGCGGGCAGAGCATTCCATTTACGGATAGTTTTCAATAATATAAGTACTTTTCAATACGTTTGCGCGGCAAGTTTGCCGTTTCTTTAAAACAAATGACGTTTTTTAACGTACTACACGTATGTTTACATTCGTCTACTCGTTTGTAATAACCAACTTTTCGCATTTATATCATAAATAACTATTACCATCTAGATAGAGTGAGATAACACATATTTACCATCAAGATATAGCGAGAAGGAAGAGTTCTTGAGCACGGCTCGGTTGAGCACGAGAGCTAGGTGGTGCCACTGTCCCTCGTGCTGCAAGTCGGGGCACCAAACTCGAGCACCGCACTCCCCTGACCCTTCCGGTTCCCATTCGCCTACATCTGATGGACAGCGTAAAATCAACGGTTTGATAAGGAAGTGGGAAATAATTGACAAACTTTGACTCAATTCACTACCCCCTTCAAAGCCAAATAAAAGTGTAATGTTACATAACTTATCTCTTTCCCAACTATGAAGTAAAAAATTCACAAAAGGCAAATTTGTCAGCCGAATGCGCCACATTTCCATAATTATGCACTAACCGAAATGCACGTAGTACGTTGCTGACATAATGTGCGATCACCTATAGTCACACAATTAATTTCCAGATTACTTAGTACATAATTATGAGCGTTAAATCTTCGATGTTTTACTGCATAAGACATAATTCTATCAATTTAAAGCCACAAATGATAAGATCGTCTTCTCGTTTGATGACGTTAAGGCTAATTTTCAAAAATATCATAAAGTTATATCATCGAACATGGAAATTGTCATTTTGATGTAAAATAAGGCATAAATTCACTTATCGAATACCACATCATATATTGTTATTTTATAGAAACTATTGATATTCCGGTCAGAGTCAACCGGGGTACGAAATAAGGATTCGAGTTTCTTGCGGCGACACGATGATGGCTTTGTCTCTGGCGGAAAGCACCACAGTCAAGCACATTGGGTGTTCGTCGTGGCTGTTATTGATATTCCTGACCAGAGTCAACCGGGGTACGTAGCGAGGATCCGAGCGCGGATCGGAGTATTCAACCTTATATTGTAAAGAATACTCACTATGCGGCACTAATGTTTCTTGCGTCGACACGATGATGGCTTTGTCTCTGGCCGAGAGCACCACGGTCAAGCAAACAAGGTGCTCGTCGCGGCTGTTGTTGATATTTCTGACCAGAGTCAACAGGCGCACGCAATGAGGGTCCGAGCGCGGATCGGAATACTTTTCGACGCAGATCCAACTGGAGTATGTGAGCCCAGTTTGTGGAGGAAACACGCGGTCGCCTGACGAAAGTTAACATCATCAATATAATGCTTCGACGAGATTATAGTAAATTTATATTATTTTAACACAGACTGCTTGGTCTAATAATAATATCATTATGCATCTACTCTCCTTGCCTCTTCGAAATCCACTTTAATCGAACGCGGATGTTTGTGCAAATTGGTGGGTGCTCACCACTGCGTGCAATTGCAGCCGAGACTAACAGCTTAATGTGCATTCCGGGGAATGAATGAGCTCGAGAATGAGAGAATAAGCTCGAGATAGTAAATTTTTGGTCAACTAAGTGGCGAAATTTTTTTATCATTCACGATCTCATCCCCCCTACCCCACAAAGAACTAGAAACACTATTCATCAGCAAAAACTTAACTTCAGTAAAGGTAGTGTTAGTTTAGTGACAATATCTCAAAAGTCTTAAAATAACTCCAACTTGATATCACGTGGTAATAACATCAATAAACCACATCTTTAAATAAACTAATTTAATGCTAATTTTCACGTTCAGATCAAGTATTTGAAAATACTCATTGAAACTTTCATATTATATTCAATGTTATTTAAAAGCAAATAAATTGTATCATACCCGATCCAATTCCGCCAAGAGTGGCATTGTCTTGTGTGCCGAGCGCATTTAAATTAGCAGACTGCGGGGCTATGCTAGGCAGGTAGAGACAACCAAACCCTTCTGCTGACATGTCGAATTCAACAAATGGAGGCAGCGTGCACGAGTTTTGAGACCTGACAAGCATAATTATAACGTAGTATCACCATTAACAGACAGTAATAAACATAATTTCGTAACAAAAATATAATACTTAGATTAAGGATATACCTGTAGTCTCTGGGAGTAGTCATCGACACCAAAGTTTTGATTCTGGTTAGCGGCACTGGACCGCCAGGTTTGCATACTTGACCAGGCTCCGCTGATATACAATTCAAGGGGTTTCCCATTCGTAAAAATTCCCTAAAAGATAATGGAAATTGTTACTTTTTATTTTTACTTTTACTCTTCGCATTATATGTAACCCACAGTTCGCATTCCACAATTAGTGCATTCGCCCGGATTGCGAAGGGTGCGGGTTCGAGTCCCGTCTGCTGCCTGGTCCGCGTGGAATTTTTTCTAGTTATATTTTCTTTAGATTTAAACATCAAACAGTTACATGCTTTAAAAAATAAAAATTATAACTATAATTGCTATTTCTTCTTTCAAATGTTTAATACTTGTAAAAGTATTCATTTGACATTGTGGGTTACCTATAATGCGAAGAGATGGCGCTGTCTTGCAGCTTAAGAATGGCTAGAGGAATTTCGACGCGGTCCGTGAGGGCCGCGGTAGCATAATTGGTCAGTGCATTCGCCCGGATTGCGAAGGGTGCGGGTTCGAGTCCCGTCTGCTGCCTGGTCCACGTGGAATTTTTTCTAGTTATATTTTCTTTAGATTTAAACATCAAACAGTTACATGCTTTAAAAAAATATATAATTATAATTGCTATTTCTTCCTTCAAATGTTTAATACTTGTAAAAGTATTCATTTGACATTGTGGGTTACCTATAATGCGAAGAGATGGCGCTGTCTTGCAGCTTAAGAAAGGCTAGAGGAATTTCGACGCGGTCCGTGAGGGCCGCGGTAGCATAATTGGTCAGTGCATTCGCCCGGATTGCGAAGGGTGCGGGTTCGAGTGCCGTCTGCTGCCTGGTCCGCGTGGAATTTTTCTAGTTATATTTTCTTTAGATTTAAACATCAAACAGTTACATGCTTTAAAAAATAAAAATTATAACTATAATTGCTATTTCTTTTTTCAAATGTTTAATACTTGTAAAAGTATTCATTTGACATTGTGGGTTACCTATAATGCTAAGAGATGGCGCTGTCTTGCAGCTTAAGAATGGCTAGAGGAATTTCGACGCGGTCCGCGAGGGCCGCGATAGCATAATTGGTTAGTGCATTCGCCCGAATTGCGAAGGGTGCGTGTTCGAGTCCCGTCTGCTGCCTAGTCCGCGTGGAATTTTTTCTAGTTATATTTTCTTTAGATTTATACATCAAACAGTTACATGCTTTAAAAAATAAAAATTATAACTATTGATAATATTTCTTCAAACTAATTAAATAGAATGGTTTTGTCAAGATTCTATTCTACTTCTACTGTTATTAAACAAATTTGTATATTTAAAGATATACATAAAACTCATTTTACTTTAGAAACTGAATTTATAAGGCACATCCACTAAACAAGTTTATTATCAAAGAATGAGACGTGCTCGCGTATACGCAAACGCAGGGAATTCGCCTTCACATTTGTGAGTTTACTTTGACTGCTAGTGCTGCTGAAAGTTAGAACTAAATTATATAGCTACTTGACTATAGCATCTTTACAGGATAAGAAGTCGTACGTACAACGAATACGATATCATACCTAAGTTCCATGGGCCTCAACGCGTGCGCGGCGAGTCTTTCCAGAATCTACATAGCGGGCGCGTGGAGGGGCTGCTTCTCGTATCGTAGCGAGGTGACTATAGCGTGTGTACAGATAAGGAATGCGATATCATACCTAAGTTCTATGGGCCGCAACGCGTGTGCGGCGAGTCTTTCGGGCATATACACAGCGGGCGCGTGGAGGGGATGCTTCTCGCATCTGAGCACCGTGACTATAGCGTGTTTACAGATAAGGAATAAGATATCATACCTAAGTTTTATGGGCCTCAACGCGTGTGCGGCGAGTCTTTCGAGAATATAAACAGGGGGCGCGTGGAGGGGATGCTTCTCGCATCGTAGCGAGGTGACTATAGCGTGTTTACAGATAAGGAATACGATATCATACCTAAGTTCTATGGGCCTCAACGCGTGTGCGGCGAGTCTTTCCAGCATATACATAGCAGGCGCATGGAGAGGATGCTTCTCGCATCGTAGTGCCGCACCACACACTCTGAGGACTATGCCTGCTAATCCTGCCCCGCACATTACTTGCTGATTGCGTTCACTGGGAACAAATACTTACAACATTATAATAACTAGCTGTGTTCGCGATTTCGTTCGCGTGGATGTCGGAAAATAACCCGACGTCACCCTTATCACCTAGGGGTATAATAGCCTACTACCTATTCTGAGACCTACCAAATATTATAAAAAAAAACATAAAAATAGATGAAGTTCGATGAAAATACGAGATTTTTTATATATACGATAAGAATAAATTAAAAATAGTTGTATACCTACGAGTAGATGATAAGATGATAAGGCAAAAAATGTGTTTCTAGGGAAATTACTCAAATTACACAAAACTTAAAAATATTTTTTACAATTTATCAAACTTCACAGTCAATACTCATTTACAAGGAATAAAACTTCTATTAAATGAAGTGGATTATATTAAATATAAACAACTTACTTTAACTTTAACTATTAGCAAACATTTGGCCATCTACAACAGTTTTTTAATATTCTATAACAAAATATAAATAAAAAACCGCCAAATGCGAATCGGAATCGTGCAGGGAGGTTTCTGTACCATTACTTATACATGTATCATTAGACACTATATTATAATATAGAGCAAAAAACATTAAATAAAAAACAACCTCTCAAAAACATTTATTTTATTTTAAATAAAACTATTAATTTTTAAAGTGAATATACAACTAAATATTCTGTGAATATTTCCAGCGCCTACCTATTGCTGTTATTAACATCGAACACAAAATGGTAAAAAAATCACGTTTGTTGTATGGAATCCCCACTTTAATATTCATTTTATTCTGTTTTTAGTAATTGCTGTTATAGCAGCAACATAAATTGTACATCATTTGTGAAAATTTCAATTGTTTAGCTATCTATGCTATATGATACAGTGACTGAAGGCAGTGGTTTCGTTTTTACCCTTTGGGTACGGAATCCTAAAAAGAAGTCTTTATTTATTAGGGTTCCGTTTTTTCCTTTTGGGTACGGAACCCTAATAAATAAAGACTTTATAGGATCACTTTGTTGTTCGTCGTCTGTCAAGTCCGTTTTTCTCAGGAATGCGTGGAGGTATCAAACTGACATTCATAGCTAATACTCATGTCTACTGTCTCTTGGAGCTGTGCAAACTTCTAAGCTAAAGCAATCAAAAGATACAGCCGTTTATGCCGCAATTTTCCGCAAATTTTCGAAACTCGCACAGGAATCAAAACCTACTTCCCATGAACTTAGAATCTTGAAATTTGGTACGAAGTAACCTCTTATAGTATAGAAAAAGGAAAAATTGCGAAAACCGTAAAGGACAATGTTAAAATTGGCCTAAGAACCAACACCAATTTGGCATTTATGATAATTCTTAGTATATTTTTTGCAATAATTATCAGTATTTAGATTGTGATGGACACTTCCAGTTAAGTAAGCTAAATTAAAAAGTTAAAAAATAATCTGAGACAATAAATACCATTTTATCTGTATAATCTGTGGCATCGCTGCAAACAAAACACTCTTTCTTCCTAATGCACTTCACTTGGCTATTTGTATTTGCTATTTTAAAAAATGACATCAGTCTGTCCTTTTCGTTCCTTATTAAGCATGACAAGGACAAACTGTTGTCAAGTGAAGGGCCGGCATAAAAACCGTTACTCTGTGGTTGTGGTGCATGAAATTTGCATTTGTAGTAATCTGTGGCATTCGTGCATTCCAAAGAGTAGTTTAATATACCGAAAAGTGCATTCTCGTTTCGGATTACCTGTTGTGTGTGTTTATTTGCGATTGTTTTTCCTTTAATTTAACTATTTCGGCTATCTAATATGCCATCGATGTTACCAAAGAGCAGAGCCCTTGCCGAACAGATTACCAAGTGCTAGTGAACCTGTGCCATAACATCCTGAGAAGATCATACTGCCAAATTATTCAAGAACACCTGATACACATTCACGCTGCATATTTACACAATAAACATGTGATATACAATAAACAATATGATACAATTATGTGAAAAATAGTCATTAAATAAGAAGCAAAACTACAGTTTTTATTTTATTCATGATTCCTACCTAACCAAGTTTTTCCTAATAGTTTCTTTAAAATCGCACCGAATAAAATGAATTAGTTGTAATATTAATTCACTTCATACTGAGTTTATACTAAATTCATAGGTTGAACTATGTTTCATTGAATATTAAACATAACCTCAAAAAAATTAGTATTCCTAATAATTTAAGTTCTCAGAAGTGTCCGTCAATAATCTTTGTTTTTACAGTCATTTACTTACGATTTTGAACGTAGAAAATAATATTTCATGATTGTTGGTTCTTAGGCTAACTATGTATGGACGCTGAACAATGTCCTTTCAAATTACATCGTATAATAAAAAATATTTTCGAAAATTTTAAAGTTACTACCTTTTTCTCATGAACGCGTAGAGGTATTAAATTGTGTTTGTACGGAAGTCCTCGGTGCGCGAGTCCGACTCGCACTTGGTCGGTTTTTTTAATGCATCTTACCTTCTCACGAGGCTCTTGAGTACATGCGCCAAGTAGTCTCGTATGGCACGAGCATACTGCTCGTGCTCTGGCGGCTTTGGCAGTGCCGGTAGTAGTTTCGCCAACACTATCACCACACCAGAGTGAATTACCCAAGCCTCACCGGAAGACCCGCTCGCGGAAAGGTTGAGAGGGGCCGTCCTACCAGCCGGCTTTGTCTAAAACGATAAAAATTTAATACAACCAAAGCAAACAAAAATAGAATTATTAAAAGTTAAGAAGAAAAATAGAATTACGTATATTTAACTAGGGGGTAATCGCGATTTCGTGTGCGTATTATATCGTATATATATTAGTTTGCAATACAAACTTCCACACCAATTTGCACCCCCTTAAAGTGTGCTTCTAGTATAAAAACCCCCGGGAATCAATCTATCGGTATTCCAAATTTCATTCAAATCGATTCAGGGGTTTAAGCAAGAAGACGTAACAAACAGAAAGACAGACAGCACACTTTTGCATTCATAATATTCGTATGGACTAATGTTACAGGCATTTGGGGATCAATATTTGGTTCACATACCTCGTTGATAGCAGAACTTTGTCGCGTCAAACTAGGAGACTTTACGTTAAGAGACCCACAAAATGTAGGCTTGTCAAATGAGTCCAAAGCTACATCGTACAGTAGTCTCAAAACAATGCAAGCATGTACAAATACAACAGGAACTTTTTCCGGAAATCTGTAACAATAAAGTTGTCATCAACATTGTCTATGGATTAACTATTAGTTAATACAAATAAAAAAAACTTCTTCTTACGTCATCTCCAAAATATTTCCAGTAAAAATTTCATGGAACACTTCATAGAGTTCTGGGTCCCCATTTTCTCTATCATTTTGTAATTCTAAATCATCACTAAAACATCCCAGTAACCTTATAGTGTCACTGAGTGTAGTCATGCATATCTACAACACAAAAGGTAGTAAATTAATTAAATGTTACAAATAACCTTTAAATATTTAAACATAGCGTTGAACAAGTTATTGCACAGCCAAGAAGGAGGTTAACTTTGAAGAACTAATATTTGGGGCGACATAATGTGGTCTTTCTAAAGTAAAACGATTGAAAAAAATCGGAGCAATTTTCTATACATGATATGGAGTCCACAGCAGAATGGAGTTTTTATGCTTTAATCTTCGTATATCGGGTAGAGTTTACTTCCATGTCAAGCGGGAAATTTGGGAAATTCTGCACCATACATCACTGATCGATCATTAACTAATAACTACTTCAACTGTATTATAATGTAAGTGAAAAAGTTACTTTACCTCATGATGAAAAAACTTCGCATTTGCAGGTTCGAATCTCATGGCAGTGCTTATAGTGTAAAACACAATATGAATCAACTGAAGCATATCCCGATCCACCATTCCGCTACCTTTAAGTTTGCCTTCCAACGAAACCAGAACACTAGTGACGTAGACAAAACCGCTAACCTGAAGCAACACGAATATAACTTACCCCTTATATCAGTCAAAGCAACTTTACATAAGCAAGTTACAAATAAAAAAACGTTTGAAGTAGAAATTCGTAGTAATTTATTAATTATTAGCGGCCGCCCGCGACTTCGTCTGCGTTAACTTTAGTTTTTTTGAAAATCCCATAGGAACCCATTATTTTTCTGGAATAAAAATATCCTATGTCTCAATCCAGGTCATAAACTATGTGTGTGCCAAATTTCATCCAAATTAGTTCAGTAGTTTTTGCGTTCTTGAGTAACAAATATACAAACTTTCACATTTATTATAGTAGGTAGTAAGATAGATTACTATACCTTTCTGAAAATAGTTCTCGTTCGATGCGAATCCCGCAAACATGCTAACAGAGCTTTAAGTATATGTAGCTTTAACAACAGCGCATCATTCGGGGCAGCGTGCATACCGCACAGCAACGCAGACATGTCTTCTTCGCCGGATCCACTCACTATCAGTTCTCTTATTACACCTACAGAAATGGTCATACTCAAAATAGGAAATGTCAAGTCCTTTAAAAACCGAAAACAATATGGGGTAAGTATAATAATGTTATCTCAGGCAAAATATTCATAACTTTTTCAAATAAAATACAAAGAGAATATATTACGTTTTAATCACTACTACATAAATACACTCAGAGGCACAATTAACCGCCCACCCGGTTAAAGTGGCAAAACTGTTAACAATAACGAAACGCTTATGACGTTGAATGACAATTTGTTAAGTGGGTAGTTTAAGATAAAATGAGAGAATTATTAACGTTTTTTTAAAGATACCCTCAAGTGTGGCCAACTTTTATTGAGTGCAGTCGAATATTGATTTTCGAACAGATTGTTTTGCGCGTACTAAAGTGATGCTTGTGAAGTTTTTATAACAAATTTCTTTGTTCTTAAGTTATAGCAGAGATTGTCATTTGCTTCTTACTCAGTAAAATGCCATTGGGTGGAGTTGATGCAGCTAGAGCAGTGGCGCTTTCTGATGCTGGGTATAGCCAGCATCATATAGGCCGTATGCAGGGGTTACCTCGAACCACGATACGAGATGCCATCCGACGATACCGAGAAAGTGGATCTTACACCAGAAGACCCACACAAGGTCGAACAAGGTACACTTCTGAGAGAGATGACCGCTTCATTGTATCCAATGTTTAGAGAAATCGCTTCACTACGGCTCCGGAAGCTCGTAATCGCCTATTTGAGGTACGAAATGTAAGTGTTAGCGTTAGAAGAACAGTAAGCAGAAGGCTTGCAGAGCGTAATTTGACTGGTTTCCGGCCGGCTCGAGTACCCGCGCTTACCACAGAGCACCGGAGAGCTAGACTACGATTTGCTCAACAATATCGAAATTGGACAATGGCGCAATCTGACGAGTCGAGAGTAGCTATAAGAGGCCCTGATGGACGCCAGCGAGTGTATCGACGGCTGGGTAAGCGGTTTGCAGTGTGCTTTAGTCGAAACAGTGGTGCTACGAAGGTGACTCAGTAATGGTATGGGGTGGAATTTCTTATGAGGTTCGTACAGAGTTGGTTTTGTTTGAAAGAGGCAGCTTAAATGCTCAGAGGTATGTGGAAGAGGTCTTAGAACCTCATGTTATCCCTTTTGCCCCATTTATTGGAGAAGATTTTCTTTTAATGCACGACAACGCCCGTGCTCACGTCGCTTGAGTGGTTACGGACTACCTTGATGCTGTCGGTATACCACGGCTACCATAGCCAGGGGGCCAATCGCCTAACGGAAATGCTTTGGGAAACGCTAACGCTTACGATTTTATATTGTTATTTCTAGCCGCCTGAGGTTTTCGAATACCTCACGCTCATTATTTTTAATATTGTTATTACCAATGCAAAAGAAAAAGAAAGAGCGCGAGGCATTTGAATACCTCAGGCGGCTAGAAATAACAAAATAAAATCGTAAGCGTTAGCGTTTTCCAAAGCATTTCCGTTAGGCGATTGGCCCCCTGCTCGGAACCCGGACCTAAACCCTATCGAACACGTTTGGGACTATCTCAAAAGGCGCGTACGAAGCCGGATTCCCGCTCCTACTTCCATTAATAAGTTGAAGATGGCCTTGATGGAGGAGTGGGAGAATATACCACAGTCAGATATTCAAGACATTATGGATGGCCTTCCAAATCAACTGGAAGAGGTCATAAGAGCCAGAGAAGGCCATACTCATTATTAAAAGTTAGGTTTTTAATGTATACATAAAGTATTAGCTTGTTTGTCATCTTCTTTAATTTTGTATTTTAAAGGAAATTTCAAACTTTTTCAAATATAAAAATTAAGCTACAGAAACTGGCCATCAGGGCCGCGGTAGCATAATTAGTCAGTGCATTCGCCCGGATAGCGAAGGGTGCGGGTTCGAGTCCCGTCTGCTGCCTGGTCCGCGTGGAATTTTTTCTAGTTATATTTTCTTTAGATTTAAACATCGAGCAGTTACATGCTTCAAAAATAAAAAATATAACTATAATTAGGGTTGCAACGATATATCGGAATATCGATAATATCGAGACCAAAATATCGATATTTATATCGATATTTAAAATTCGCTGATATCGATATCGGAAATTCCAAAATATCGATATTTCGTAGACTAAATTTGAACACAATAATATCAATTAATTTATCTGCTATGACTTTCTAAATTGAATAATATCGAAATAACTATTGCTTCGAAATCGCAAGAGCTTATAGATGTACTAGCTGACTCGGCGAACTTCGTACCGCCCAAAAGTAATAATTTGCAATAAATTAAAATTGCGACTATAATTTGAGATTTAAACTATCCTATCTCTCAAGTTGGATCGAACTGCACATGGTGTGCGAATTTTATTATAATCGGTTCAGTGGTTTAGGAGTCCATTGAGGACAAACATTGTGACACGAGATTTATATATATTAAGATTAAAAAAATCTTGAACCCCAAGAAATATAGTAAACTGGTGTGGATTCTGGCATGATTCTGTAAACCTAAAATTAAATTTGACAACAGTGTATCCTTGTCATTCTCTATACAGAATGAAAAGGAGAGACTGATGTTAAATTTAGTTTTAAGTTTAGATAATCATGCCAGAATCGACACCAACGTATATAGGTATAATCGTATACCTAATGGTAACTCATGCACTTAAATAAAATCCTTGCCTCTCTTTCTAGATAATTGTCAACTACTGATTAATTGAAATTTAATATCATTGTAATATAACACAAAATAAAATTAAGAATCTTATACAAATCGTAAATTTTTTAAGCTCGCCAAGTCAAGAAAGTAAGATAGGTATAGTAATTTTGGAAGCTTTGGGCTTACCCTATTCTGAAGCCATTGCGTATTTGATGTGCGCTAAAAAACCGACATAGCTTGGAAAAGCACGAATGTAGTGAAAACTTAGCGAAGGCATTCGCAAATGTCCCACATATGCGGGTTGGCGCATTCGTGCTAACGAATGTGAGTGATCTGATCAGGATAATAATTTTAATTTTTTGGTTTCCTGTCGTGGCTGAAACACAAACCGTGCGAGCCAATAAAAAAAATCCTGCTTGGCGTGTTCAAGTTCAAGCGTGTTTAACGAAAAAGCTGGCTCAATGCATTTTGCGAGATATTCGCCATCAAACATATGAATGTGTCACACTCACCCCGTATTCTAATGTCAATAAAAAATAAAAAGGAAAAAATATCGATATATCGATAATATCGAGTTAAAATGGTCGATATATCGGATATCGATATAAATATCGATATTTCAAAAGACTTTGCATCCCTAACTATAATTGCTATTTCTTCTTTCAAATGTTTAATATTTGTAAAAGTATTCATTTGACATTGTGGGTTACCTACAATGCGAAGAGATGGCACTGCCTAGCAGCTTAAGAATGGCTAGAACAATTTCGACGCGGCCATTAGAGCCGCGGTAACATAATTGGTCAGTGCATTCGCCCGGATAGCGAAGGGTTCGAGTCCCGTCTGCTGCCTGGTCTGCGTGGATTTTTTTCTAGTTATATTTTCTTTAGATTTAAACATCAAGCAGTTACATGGTTAAAAAATAAAAATTATAACTATAAATGCTATTTCTACTTTCAAATGTTTAATACTTGTAAAAGCATTCATTTGACATTGTGGGTTACCTACAATGCGAAGAGATGGCGCTGCCTTGCAGCTTAAGAATGGCTAGAACAATTTCGACGCGGCCATTAGGGCCGCGGTAACATAATTGGTCAGTGCATTCGCCCGGATAGCGAAGGGTTCGAGTCCCGTCTGCTGCCTGGTCTGCGTGATTTTTTTCTAGTTATATTTTCTTTAGATTTAAACATGAAGCAGTTACATGCTTAAAAAAATAAAAATTATAACTACAGAAACTGATTTTGTTCACTTATTTCATTTTAAATTATCCAATTTATTGGTTTTTTAAGAAAAAGTCATTCTAATATGTTTTTTATAAATTACACCGAAAATGTAAGTACGCGGTTAATTGGGCCTCTGAGCGTTTTTTCATAAATCTTTTTTCACTCATAGTAAAAATTCATCCATTAAGATGAATTCCATGAACACCAACTCACCTAAAGCCTGACTCCGGCAAGATTCATGCACAACCATACCATGCACACACTTCGCGCCACCACAATCTCTAAAGACATTGCAGTTGTTCGAATTGCCGTTCAACAACGCCGTCAGCCCTTCCATAACTAAGGCACCTAACTCTTCTTCTTCGGCGTCCAAATTAGGGTCCCTTATCAAAGAGTCTTGCTTCGAAGATAATCGTTTTCTTCTCTCGGGTGCTTTTGGTGACCCATTCGTTTCTGCTTTCCTGATTTTCTCTTCTTCTAATATTTGTTTGTCTTTCAAAAATGCCGCATATCGTGATAGACACGTTACAAAGACTTCGAGCATACCTACTTCTCGATATACATCTTTAAAGATAGCATTATGCCTGAAAAAATATTTGACTTTTAAAAAAAAAATTAGTTCCTCTTTGCATGTGCTTAATATAATAAATGAATAAATTCTAGGTAAACATTGGAGTACAATAATTATTATTAACACTTACTTTAAAATATTTAAGAGCGTTTTTATACATAGAATGCTACAGCTCCTTGATCTATTTGCTTTCAATAATAATGATAATGAGATCAATTCCTTGCAGGGCACAAAATTTAATTGAAACACAATGAACTCCAGTAATTCGAAAAATTTCTCTTGAATTTCCGCATTTTTTGTGTGGATTCTTTCTGAGAACTGACTCAATGTATTCTGGTTCTCCAGAATGAAATAGTTGGCATTGTCAGCATGGTAGACGCTTGATATGGCGTCAAGAATTGTACAACACAGAGCTGGCGAGTTCGATTTTATAAATACCGATTGTAAAACCTGCAAGATAAAATAATAAAGAAAATAATTTTTAGTTATGTTTAAATAATGATTGTAATGTATTTTTTGTGCAAAATGTACCTGAAATGCTTGGACATTCCTAACCGCCTGGCCAGGCGTCGACGGTTGCGGTAACACGAATCCTTGCAATTGAAACAATTCGGTGTTGGCGCGAGTCGGCCTGAGTTCGGAGAAACCGCATGCGCACAGAGACGATATCATCAATACTAAATTACGGAGTGCTGCTCGAGCTTCCGTACCACTGACCCTTTCCTCTTCCAACCTATTCACAAGAAGAACGAACAAATTCTTTATTTTTGCTAATAAATAATGCAATAATAATACAAAACTTTAAAACATCATATTATTATTAGTTTTATTGTGAACAGACTCATTACGAGTTTGAACACATTATTATTATTAATGTGTTCAAACTCATTACCTGTTCACACTAAAACTTGTTGTTTATTTGCTAAACGTCAATTTACTGCACAATTTACTTTCATAATTAAGTAATCGTAAACAGAGTTATTTTTTATTGATCATGTGAATTTTGGCATTTTATGTAGAATGCTTGCCCAAAGGCGAATATTTAGTTATATAATATCAAATATGCTGTTTTTAAAAAAACAAATACTGAAAACGCCGTTTCCTAACGTACTTTGTAAGTTGTGATGAAAACAAAAAGGAAAAATCATCTTTTCCTTTAGCAATTTGTTGTACAGAACCCTTCGAACTTGGCCAGTTTTTATATTATTTGACGTTTAACTTGCATCGTACCTAATCTTCCCTTTTTGTTTTAATCTTAGGTAACACTTACACTTAGCCTACCACAATCGAGCTCTGCGACGTCACACGTTTCCTGGTGAATATTGACTACCATATAATTAGTTATAAAATCGCAACAAATGAACAAATTTCGATAATTTAAAAAGTATATTAATTAAAAAGCTTATTAGATCATTCTCGATTCTAGATTGAGGTCTATACCAATTAATTATCTATTAGAAGTTTCATTCTATGAAATTGGGATTGCTAATGCATGCATCTATAAAAAGAAAATAGAACAGTGAAATCTTGCTTACCCTGATGTCAAATAATCGGACACTTCTTGTCTTTCATGTCTGTGATAAATAAAGAGAAAAGAGTGGATAAAAAAAACATAACAAAAAAATAAATTAACTACACTTCTAATCACTTTTCATGCCCATGCCTTAAACTACTATAAAAATAATTAATATGTACTCACTTCAGCAAAAATTCAGATAAAAATAAATATCCTTGACATGAACGAAAATCATCCAATAATAATTGACTAACATCACTTGAATCCTTTAAAAAACAGAATACAGCAACAAACATCTCTACCACCTGCAAAAAAAATGTTCAGTGAATATACTACAATGAATTTTATTTATATTAGAACTAATTAATACCAAAAAAAATTTTATATTATATTAATTTTTATATTTATAATATTATAGGTACATATCGATTATTTAATAAATTACAAAATAAAGAAGACTTTCTTTCTAATCTATTATATTAGATAGTAAATACCTCCAAAGGAGACAATTCAGGTATCCGTTGCATATTTTCTATGCATAATGCTACACACCCCTTATCTGAAAAGATTTTGGTTTCAATATGCACAATAAAAAATATAAATACAAATTCTTTACCTATTTCAAAATATAAAAATCTATTTATTGTTTATCAACAAAACTACAATAGGTCAAAACATAATTTATTTAATGATAAGCATACATTTATTCAACTTCAAGATAACACAATTATGATAATTTCAAATGCTCTAATTAGAAACTGTTAGTGTGTACTTACTGTGTATATATTGTACTACAGACTGTGTCAATCCATGTCTGGATAATGTCATCAGTACTTCTGCAGCAGATTTACGCCACATTATGTTGTGTGGTGCACACCAAGATGTTATAGCAGAGAATAATAAGCTCAAATCATCTTTTCTTGCTAATTCTTCGCATGGGAAGGGATGACTGGATAATCTTACAAGTACCTGTTTGTAGACATGTCAAAATAGAAAATAAAATAACTTCTCTAGAAGCTACTAAGAGTTATATTGTACAAATTCAAAGAGACACTTTTCTGCTTTAAGACAACTTTTCATAAATTTTGTATTATTTGAGGAAACAGGTAATCAACCAATGATGAATTAATGTTACATAACAATATATATATGATCATAATAAGAAGTCATCAAAATAAATATTATATACTGAATTTCATTATGTTAACTGTAAGAAATTCTAAAACGCTCCCAAAATCCAGCAGCATTTTAGCTAACAGTGGATAAGAGATTAAATAATATAGTGTAAACAATGTCAAACAAACAATATTCACTAACAAAATGGTATTGTAATAAACTTTTTCTTTATTGAAGTAGCTATGAAACAAATACAAAATCTTTAACTCTGTAAAACAAAGTAATCTTAGTATACAAATGAATGAATGTTGTACATATTTCTTTTATATTTTATGCATCTTGTTATAATAAAAAAATCTGATTAATTACCTGTACAAATATCTTTTGTAACAATATCCTTCTTTCCCTGGGAGTAAAATCACTATTACCATCTTGTAGGTCTGCTTCTGATTCAGGAATTTCAGGGAGATCAAAAAACAGGTACAAGCATTTGACTAGTGTAGATGGTATCGAAGCAGTAGTCATCACCTGAAATGTAGATTTTAAGAAGAAATGAGATAAAAGACATCCATACTTTTGTATTATAAAAATTATATAAGTACAAACTTACATACCTGAATAAGAGATTGATCACCAGCTGCCAATAAGTTTAATGTTGATAGCAACATCCATCCATTACTGGACTCTTCAGAGTTTTCAATTTCAAGAAATTTGGCAATAGCACAGCTTGCCGCCTCTGTGCTTTGGTTACTTGCCCTTTTTCTTATTTCAGATACCATGAGTTTTGAGACTTGCTGGCAGAATGACAAAATATCCCAAAACTTTTCATTCATCTCACTTGACGGACTGGTACCAAAGATCTAGTACAGAAATATTTTTTTTCTTAAATTCAATTATTGATGTAAAAAATAATTAATTTGCTTATTCCTCTTTAATTGTTCATAAAGATTATGTAGAAGATGAGCATAAAATTAATTATTGCAAAATTGTTGATTAATTTTTTGCTCAATCATTGAAAGCTAACTTTCATTGAAGTGGCTGACCAACTTCTTTGACTGACTACACCTTGTTATTATTCAGTTGAATAACACTATGTTTTCAATATTTCCTTCTCATAAATATAATCTCCATTATTACCTTGAATTTGTCTTTGCTATTAATGAAAAAATAAGATCAAGGTCTGCAGTCTCATGAATAGATTTTCATCCAATTATTTTCAATTCAAAATCAAGAATTATTTCTAAATTTAATAGGAGTGTTGGTAACTGAAACTTTTTGTGAATGTAAAGAAATAATTTTATATGTTTAGAATACCTTACAAAACAGAGGCAGCATATTGTACAGCTTATCATCTTTTTCAGCATCTGTGAGAGGTTGTGGTGGATGTGTATATTCGGCAAATAACTTTTTTAGATGCATCAAGCCCAGCTGAACATGGGAGGACGAGCTGGTAGTCTCCGTAGGTTCGGTAGAAATAGAGGCGGTAGCACCGCGCAATTTGCGCATCAAATGCATTTTTACAACTCACAGGTCTAGCACTTCAGCAGTAACTAATACAAACACATGGTTTCTATTTAGGGAATTCATTAAAGTAGTACAATGTAAAAACAGTACACTAATAAATACTTCTTTTTAGAGACAAACATTATGTAGTAAACAGAGCTGTAAGTACTTTCATTTACAAACTACATCTCCAACTCAAGCCCGATTCTTAAATTGTATAATAAATTTATACTACATATTAAAACAAAATCCCTATTATTTATTTACAGTCCACTGTGGATTTATTTCGTAAAATACGCCCAAACACGAACAAATACAAATTGGCTGACCATTTTTTTCGGTAATCACGAAACCAGTGTTGCCAACATATACTGATACTGATATAATTACGGCCAATTCGCCATAAAAATTACCCAGAGTTTTATCTATGTAATGTAATTCAATGGTGTCGATTCTGGCGCGATTCTCTAAACTTTAAGCGAAATTAAACACCAGTCCCTCCATTCTCTGTAGAGAATGTCAAAAATACACCAATATCAAATTTGAGCTCAGGTTTAGAAAATCATGCCAGAATAGACACCAATATTAATGTTACTTTTAGAGAGGTTGTTTTTTGCATATAACAAATGGGTGATTTTTTCAGTTGTATTGTTATTTATTAAGCATTTAACTGCTGGTTGTTTAAATCTTAAGAAATTAATTTTTAGAAAGAATCCACGCGGACCAGGCAGCATACGGGACTTGAATTCGCACCCTCCGCTGTTCGGGCGTATGCATTGACCATTTCCTACCGCGGCCTTAATGGTCGTATCGAATTTTATGTAGTATTTCTTAGACTGCAAACTTAGAGCATAATATACCACTGGAGACGCCATACCGTTTTCACGCCGAACAAAATTTTTCACCATTTTTGGCGCGGGAAAAGTATGACACGTATAGCACACTAATGACAATATGCAATACTCCTATAACATATCAGATATGTTGAAGCGTTAACAATAAAACGCACACATGAAAACAATTTTTATGTAACTATGCAATTGTTCGAGCGTACACCAACATAAAATTAGGAATGCGACATTAAAAAAAATGAACGATATTTGAATGAACAGTTCTGGATGAATGAACATTCTGGTGTGCCAACTTATATCTAAAACTAACTAAAATTAGATAAAGAGTTATCAAATTCAATTTGGTATTCTGTAATGACACACTATATCTAAATTTAAAATTGACGTCGCTAAGTTATTCAACTTAGATTTAAATGAATAAATGGTATTTTGAAACGCGTTCTAAATGTCATATTTTCTCTAAAATTAGAAATGTCACACTAAATTTAAGAAGGACCTACGGAGGTCCTCTCTTTTGCTCGTAGTGGATATTCTGAAATAAAATTGGTGTGATTTTGTGTTACAATCGTCTGCGCAACTGAATAATTAGTGGAATCTTTAAAATATACGCCATTCCGGTTAAGTGGACGTAAGAACTTTATTGTAGTGTTGACTACCTCACAGAAGCTTATCGGAAAAGCCAACTCAATACATTTCGTGCCAAACTCTCCAAGTAACATTAGAATGAGTCGCACCGACATTGTAATGTAAGAAAAAACGAAGATTAATGAAACTAAAGATAATGTTGTATGGTTATTGCTTCCTTTGCCTTCCCTGAAAAGCGAAAAAGTAGAACAAAAATTGACATTTTAATTGTGACATCGCCCTTTTGAAATGACTGACTTTTTCACTTTTCTCTTTCTGTAGATCTAAATATTCTTCATGATTTGTAGATTTTCTTGAATTTCAACAACATTTATCAAAGCGGTTGGTTACTAAAATGCCAGAAGATAAACACTTAGTACAGTGCTATAACAGGGGATGTGGCAAACTTTTCGATCCCATTCATAATGATAAAGGTGAGGAACAGAATATTCCAGACTTCTCTGTTATACCTGGTAAATTAGCCCAATAATTTTGGTAATATTGTCTTCAAACTGATCGCTTTCGTGCCTTTAAAATACCTAAAACACTACAAATCTGAAAGAACTGTACCGATATAACTTTGTTAGTTTTTCAGTTTCATCAAGTTGAAAATATTTTAGATTTATCTTACGGCTACTGTCTTTTCCAGATGAATGTCAGTATCATCCTGGTGCTCCCATATTTCACGATGCTTATAAGGGTTGGTCATGTTGCAATAAAAAGAGTGTTGATTTTACGGAATTCCTTAACATTAAAGGATGTACAATGTCGAAACATTCGAATGTGGTAATGCTTTTTTAATTATTGTTTGCTATGTAATGTTGTTAGTTGTATTGTTTTGTTTTTACAATTATAATATTGGTTATATCTGGGAATTTGCAGAAACCCCCTGAACCTGAAAAAAAGGGTCTAGATAAAGAACTGGAGCAAAAAGAAGTTATAGAAGTCAGGGCACCTGTTGTTCGCCCACAATTGCCTCGACCACCATTTGATTCTCCACTTGTGACTCTCAAAGCTTGTATTTCAAATTCATTGATGGAAGTTACACAAAAATCTTCACAAAAAACTACTGCTATTGATGATGGGTAATTTATACTATTTTTAAATATGACATTGTTGGGTATAATTTTTAACTTAAACTCATTTCATGAATTTATCTATTATTTGACAACAGTGTATCCTTGTCATTCGCTATACATAATAAAAAGGAGAGACTGATGTGAATTTCGTTTTAAGTTCAGAAAATCATGACAGAATCAACAACATTTTATCCCTAAGTTTAAAATATACAGAATTTAATTGCATTTGGAACTTCATAAATTTTGTCCATGTTTTGCTATTAAACTGGTCTATGAGTGTTGAGGTGTGTAGAACACTTAAATGCTGTAAATGTATTTTAATTGCCACCAGGAATATAGCGATTGGTACATCTTGCAAAAATGGTGGCTGCAATGTCTCATATGAGGGACCTCAGACAAATGGAACCATGTGTACATATCATCCTGGATGTCCTGTGTTCCATGAAGGCTTAAAGTTCTGGTCTTGTTGCCAAAAGAGAACAACAGATTTCAACACTTTTCTAAGCCAACCTGGTTGTACAACTGGTACTCATAAATGGAAAAAAGAAGTGAGTGTATCATGCAGTGAATTTAATCTAATTCAAAATTAGACCTAGATAGCTAATATACATTTTTTTTGGAGGGAGCTCCTGCGGGCACTGTGAAATGTCGCTGGGACTGGCACCAAACAGCAGATTTTGTAATTGTCAGTGTATATGCCAAGAAATATGATCCAACACTGAGCTATATTAAACTAAACCCAATCCGTTTAAATACAAAGTTGGTCTTCCGAGAGGAGAATGATGCTGTTTTTGAACTAGATCTTGAATTGAGAGGTGTAAGTAGACATAGTATGGATTTATTGCAACAGAATCAGTAAGGTGATAATAGGAATGCATATTTCATTTTAATTAATCTTTCAGGTTATAAGTGTAGAAAAAAGTAGTGCATCCATGCTGCCAACAAAGATGGAAATCAAATTGAAGAAGGCTGAACCTGGTTCATGGAGCAAGTTGGACTTTCCTAGAAATGAACCTAAAAAAGAGACATCAGAACCCAAAATAGAGCCAGAAGTTGAGGATGATTCAGTTGATCTATCAACAGTAGAAGCTATACAATCTACAGCAAAACTTAATGTGTCTGCTTAAAAATGGAGACTAATTGCAGTGAAGTGTCAATATGAAATTAATAAATGAATTAAATGACATTGTTAAAATCTCTTTTTTTACTGATGTCATGGTGTTACTTCACAAAGAAGGTAAATGTACATTTTCATAAAATAAAATGTGTTTATACTTGTTTTATTGTTTTAATAGTTTCAATTAATTACTGAACCATATAATAATAAATAACACAACATAAAATTAAAATTATATATATTTACAGCATTTTAAATCCAAATTTCCAATGCACATAATAATTTGTGACCACTTAACTTTATTACATAATTAATATTAATTATAATAATAGTGTTTTTAACATAAAGTTACTCACAGTAACTTTTTAGTTTACAATTTTACAGATAACTTTCATGACTAGAAGATTAGACTAGAATTGTTTATAGCTTTAACACACGCTCGAATTTGGTCCGGCAGACCAAATCCGCCTACTAAATCCGTCCTCGCTACAGACGAGTGAATCGGACAGTTGCTTCACGTACGCCTTCAAGTGCACACGGTGGTCATCATGTCGTTGGACACGAAAATTATGGTGGTAGCGGCAACATTAGCAGCAACGTTTCAGCCACCACGTAAAAAGCGGAAAAAAATAAGAGAATGGGCGTAACAGTGTTTAAGGGAACGTGACGAATTTAGTCACATAAAATTGATAAGAATTTTAGATGAAGATGATTTTAAAATAAATCTGCAAATGAACCGCGAAACCTTTGAAAAGTTATTAAATTCCCTCCATAAAGTAAAATGAGCGCCACGCGGCCGTCCTTCTTGGCGTTCCGAACACGACTAGTCGTAGTTTGTTCGGCCCAACCGTCCACACGTCCAGATTCAGTACAACAATGTACTCTATGTTCAGTACGGAGCAAACCATATCCCATGTGCAAACTAGCGGACCGAGGCGGACTCAATTAATAATAATTAAGTTCGCAGGACTACTCTACAGACGGTCAGATTTGGTTCGGATGCGAACCAAATTCGTGGTCTGTTCGAACCAAATTCGAGCCTGTGTTACAGCTCTTACACTACACAAAACTTACTACCCATTTAGGCAATAACAACTTATTTTTCTTTACAATTTTATAAGAACGAAATCCCATGTATGCATACAACAATTGTACTGGTATTATTGTTGCACTGGTCCTTGGGATACTAAGGTAAATAACTGATACCTATATTATTATCTGACAGAAAACCCAGGACTAGATCGACAGTTGGAGTAGTTATAGCCATACTGCCGCCGTTACCGTGTTGATAAAGCAAACCCAGACAAGTGTTGGTCAGAACATACAAGTAGCCATCGCAAAATGGTTTCGCCTTTTTATAATAGATACCTGTTACGGTTCTTGAATTGTAGTCTGATGACAAACAGACACAGCCGAGGCTTAGTAATTATAGGGTTTTCTATGCCACTTTTGGACACGAAACCCTGAAATTATGAGACTGAATATATAATTTTAATTAAAGTACTAAATCGTGAACACTTTTTAATAATCAATGGCTATTGCATAAATAAATGTAACATTTAATTAGGAAATCAGACACTAACAGACGTAATTTTTGTTTGCCAAAAATATAATATATAACGAAATTTACAAGGAACAGATTTTCTCATCTAAATCTTAGTGTTATTATGTAAAATACATAAACTAACAGCCGCACTCAGAGAAGACAATTAGCTTTTAAGTATGGCTGTCACTTTCTCTGCAATCACAAAATAATGAACAACACGTTATTAAACTAAACAAACAAAATTCATGTGATTTTTTTAACACGATGTAACGTGTTAAAAACATCACATGAGTTTTGTTTGTTTAAAGAGAGAGACAGAAGGCATAGGCCTTTAGGTTGTTTCACTGTTTTCGTTTACCATAGATCGTTTTCGCTAGTCCATCAACGATATTATATACCCTAGATACCTACACCACGTGCGCTCAAAATGTGTCCCAATCAAGAAGTGCTCGAGTGGTGTTCAAGGTTCAAGCACTTTCTGGTTCACAGTCGCTCGCAAGCCGTTGAAAAGTCAAGATGCCGCAGAACTCCGTGAAAAAATGCAAAAAAAAATACTTATATTATGTAAAGTTTCGTATTTTCGACAAGTATCTAATCCATGTTTGTTAATTTAACGCATTTGAAGCAAATTTTGTTTGTACTTAATATAATTACACTGATTTAATAGAAAATATTTGTGTTATTCAATTGTATGGTCGGTAATATAGCCGTCTCTTTTCCTCGCGGTCCGTACCTGGTATATTGCTAACAAGAAATCTCATTCAGAATTGCGCATATAATCAAAGAAATAAGGTCTATATTCTTCCGCATATAGCAATAAGTCTTAAAACTTATATATTGATTAAGTACTTTAGTGTTATTAATTAGATAGATTTTGCTACTGGGCGGTAGTCGGCCGGACTTCGAATCTTAAAATAATATGTAACAGATATACACAAGTCGAATGGTTAAAAAAACGGAGTTTGGTCTGGGGTGCCGCCTTGTGGCGAAAACTAGCTCATAATTACTGGATGATAGGCTGTGTATATTTTAGTTGCTTCCTATTGCGCATGCCGTGGCAACCTATAATTAAAGCGACACTAATCCTAGCTTAAAATTGCTTTCGTAGCTACTAACACTGACATTGTGTTATGCTTTGTTGATCCTAAATAAATAAATAAAACAGTCGGGTAAAAAATGGTATTTTTCTAAATTGAAAAAGTATTTTCCTTTAAATATTTTGGTAATTTACATGTAGGTTTTGTTTTAGCAGGGGGCATAAGTTTGCCGTGGAAATAGCTGTCGGCCTGTTGTTTAATTTCTTTACAAAACGGTGAGAACCTTAGAAATTTCTTTTGTTTCATATATTTTCTTTTGTGCCATGTGCTAATCTGCGGACTGTTTCTTTTAAGCCGTAGGCGGTTTTTTTATACTTTAGAAAATTTTATATTGAACCATGAAATAACCCTTTGTCATTACATGGGAGCGAGGCTCAAGGGCGTAGCCAGGATTTAGTTTAGGGGGGGGCAGGCGAGTGAAACTAATATGTTCGCTACAAAAATTTCTTGTATCATCTTTCGCTGGACACTTAACATACACAGGCCATTTATGTGTCCTATGTATGTTAAGAGATCAAGATCGAGCATCGTCGACCTCAACCACGTTTTGACTACACCGCAGTGTAGAGAAGTACCTTGTGGTGCAAGACAGTGCCAAAGAAATTAGTATAGATTTTCTGGTTGGAGGAAAGAATGTTTCCGCCTTCTCTAACAACTCCGCAAAGTTCAGCTCTCTTAGGTGTTCTCTTGGCATATCTTTCCATCGTTTATATCACAGTTCGGCTTTATTATCAAAGGATCTAACCCATCGTAACTTTGTGTTTTCTGTTTGAATTCAGCCAATGAAACTTTCAATATCGCATCAGGATGCAGCATCATCAATCCGAAGGCAGGCATATGCCTACTAGAACATCGTTTCTTTGATTAACATATGTTTATCAAAGAAACGATGTTCCAGTGCGGATATAAGGGAATCCAAATACGGGATGAAGACCGATCGCTTCCAAAAATCGCATGGAGTCTCAGCAGGATTGGACTGATGTCGTTGGCGAAATGCAATGCGCGGTATATATAAATCGGTTCCAATGACAACTGCAGTTTCCGTAGAAGTGTCGAAGACATATTGGAATTCCTGGTCCGCGTTACTGAGATGCTTCTTTCATATATACATGTCTATTGTCTTTGATTATAGGGCATTGGCAACAGGTTCCAATATTCCTGAGTATTTTCCTATCAAACCAGCAGGTATAATAAATTCTTACTTGGTAGCAGCACATATAAGTGGTAAGCGTTTTTTCTCGCTGCAGCATTACCTTCTCTAGAAATTGCCAAAAGCCCATTGAGAATGCCCTCAAAATGATCGTTAAAAATAGCAATACTTTTGTTTTTTTGTGACCAGCGTATTTCACAAAAAGCTAGAATATTTGGGACGTACTTTCTCCTTAGAGAAGATTCTCGAAAAAGTTGATGACATCTTTTATTGTGCTAATCGTGTCTCTTATTTGTGGAACATTATTAACCGCCAGGTTTATTTTGTAACTTGCACAAAGGAAATACAATGCTTATTTGCCCAAAAAGGATTAACCACAAATAAAAAACAAATTAACTATATAAAGAAAGGCTCTACTGTAAACTCGAAAAGCAAGCCTTTTTCAATCCTAGATACTGAACCTGACTAGACTATTTTAAAAGATACGTATGAAAATCACTACAATGTACCAGATGATGCTGGTGTCTCATCGTCATCCAGACCGGACGTATTCCTCTTTTTAGGCACATCAAACATAAGTAAAGTACTAATAGAGCTTACTGTATCGTACTAACATTTTTTTTCCAACACTCACACCAATTCGCCTAGCCCCAAAGTAAGCACTGTAAGGCTTGTGTTATGGGATGCTAGGGTAACGGATAGAATACATATACTGTACATATATAAGTATATTTATATAGAAATACATATTAAACATCCATGACTGGAGTACAAATGCTCGTATTCGCGACACAAACATCTGCCCCCACCGGGATTCGAACCCGGGACCTCTCGAATCGGCGACACCATAAAACCCGGCGTACAAACCACTCGGCCACGGAGGTCGTCCGAGATATTCCAAAATACCTCACAATAAAATTGAATAAATATTACGATCTTACCAACGAACTAACCAAAAATGGCTATCTAGTTAATTTACATGCGGTAGAAGTAGGAGCGAGAGGTATACCAGCAAAATTTTTCTATAACCTTCTAAAAGACCTCGGCCTATCGAGAACTGCAGTAAGTTTAATTTTGGAACGAGTAACTAAGGCTGCACTAACAGACTCCTATCAAGTTTGGCTAGGAAGGGCGGGCAACTCAAGCAGTGAAGGTGAGCGTTGATGCGTATCTCAAAGGGGGCCTCCTTAAACCTACACCGGATGGCAAGGCCCGGGAACTGCTCAGAGTTTCTCTCTCTGTCACACGATGGACTCGGCACCCGCACGGTGAAACATGGATTGTTAAGAATTTCGTCTCACATACAATTAATGAGAATAGATGTCATTTTATGATCTTTTAGGACTTGTGCTAGCGAGTAAAAAACTAATTTTCGAATAACTTATTTTTATGATGCTTCTAAACCTGTGTTCTAAACGGGCCATAGTTGCCCGGCAATGTGTGGCTACGATACATGGCCCGGCAAAATTATATTTTTAAGAATACCTTAATACTTGTTAGTTGTACACACAGTAACATTATACAGACTGCACACTTTAAAAAAAATCCTTATATCCATCATTTTACGTCCAAGAAATGTTTAACGTAGGTACGTACGAAATCACTTCTCTGTTTACGAGTAGTCCTATCGAAATCAGAGCTTTAGTAGCGAGACTAATGAGAGTGATGTGCGATTCTATATTTTTTTTAAATTTTATATTTAGTTTTTGGATTATTTATTATTTAATTTTTGGTTCCGAAGCTCCTCGATCTAGGGGGGGGCAGCTGCCCCCCCCTGCCCGTACCTGGCTACGCCCATGGCGAGGCTTCTCTGCATACATTCAACTCGACACTTAACAAACATGCAAACGGGGATAGTAAGCGCATGTAAATATGTACTAATGAGGACATTCATACTAATTCTGGTAAGAGAAAATTCTTCCATTATGTAAAATTCAGGTAAAGATTATAAATATAAAAGGATAATTGGACCTAGCTTCTAAATTCAAGAAAATCATTGGCAATTAGTTGGAAATTTCAATATATAGACACCCCAAAGTGAGTTTGGATTTTGCTTCAACCCCCCTTGCGATTAATAGTTCAATGCCCTTCCGGCGAGTCTATTGAGGAAGATCTGGCGCCCGAGTACTTTTTTAATTTTATTAAGACCTGTCCATATTTCTTTAAACAATTTTAGTCTTCACCTATTTTTTAATATGACAACTAATTTAACCTTTCTGAGTACGGCTGTAATGTGTCAACAGAGGCCCAAAAGCAAGATTTTTTTACAGCTCAGTAGTGTATTGTTATCGTCAAATTTTGTATGGAAAAAGGTAGTTTGCTCTTATGTCCGATAGGTCTCTTCGTTTAACATAGGCACTGCTTAGTTTTCATAGAAACTTTGACTGTGCAATACGTTACGGAGCTGTCAAAAATACGTGCTTGGGTCACTGTTATTGAAATTATTTATGTAGGAATTCTAGTCCGTGCGGGTGAACATTTCACTCCTTTATTTATTGATAGTTGATAATTAGGGGGAAGCACAGTGCTCATTGGTCGAAGTGGGGACTGGAGGGGGGTGGAAAGGCGGCGCGGGCGCAGGCTGCATGCGGTACATGTCGTGGAGTAGCGTCGCCACGGAGACATCTCCTACTGTATCCCTGAATAGTAGCAGCTCGATGGAACGCGCTCGAACCGCCCGCAATGATGGCAGTAGCAGGAGGAGTCTACCAAACCTATAAGGAAACAGAAAGCTGTTTGACACACAATTTATTTATGTATTTGTTGGAAGATTTGCAGACAAAATTAAATAGTATCATTACTTTGCACAATAACTAAACATATGCTAATAACAAATCTCTACAATTGTGAATAAATAACATTATGATATATGGAAACCAGGATCAGACTACAACACGTAATAAGATCCCTTTTTTTTTGAAAAACCCGCCTGCTGGTAAGCGGCCATCATAGTCGTGTAGATGCTTGCGAAACCAGAGTATCACTCGCGCGTTGACTACTCCGAGGCATAAGCACGAATTTTTAACCGCTCCGTAACATATGGCATCGCCAAATTTTGTATGAAAACTAAGAGGCGCCCCTATCGGGCATAAAAATAAACTAGCTTTTTCCATACAAAATTTGATTATGACGATAAGTTACGGAGCTATCAAAAATTCGTGCTTGGTCCTCTGATCCTGTCCTGTGAAAATTTATGCATTCACAAGAAACGACACCACCAAAAGGCAGTGTTATTGCACTAAGGTGGAGGCTTTGATTAGATAATCAACGGGTGGAGGTTATTTCGTTTTTCGTGTTCGAGGTTAGGCCTTCTAATTAGAACGGTAAATCCGCTATACTTACTCTTATTACAACACACTCGATAACAAAGAATCAAGATCGGGTTTCCCACACGGATCTGTCAAGTTATACTATCGTCATTAGCTTATTAATCTCCCCACTACTGGAGAACAGAACCGGCCTCACGGAACAGATTTGGCCTGTTCTCCTTCTTCTTACCTTAAGGTAGGCTTGTTGAAAATATATCGATATTTTTTGTACGATATATCGATATTTTTAGCCGATATATTTTGATTCGATATATCGATACATCGATACAAAATAACCAATATCGAAATTCGTATCAAAAACGATATTTTTTAATTATTAGCGGCATATCACGATCTAACTAAATTCGTATCTGGAAAAATCGTAACTGGATCTCAGATTAATGATATTCAACATATCTATGATCTGTGCTGTATTTAGTATTGTCTATGATTTGTAAATCTGTTTCGCTGGTGTATTGGTTGTGCTGAATTCCATTATATTCTGTGGAAGTGTGTGACTAGTGTTGTTTACTAAAGATGGCACCTGAGAGGCCCTGCAATCATTTTCATCATTCGAAAATAGGGTCTATTTTTAGGGAGATAAATTTCGTTCAATTATTATTCCTCGTATCATCTTTCGTGAGATACTGTACTGCCATTTAGTGTAGCGGCAATTTGGTACTTTGATAATTCTTTCTTTAATTATAATTTGTATTGTTATTATTACTGTGCTAGGCTGACCTAAATATATTTTTGGGAAAATTGGTCCGATATATCGATGTATTGATATATCGATATTTTTTTCAACTTTCGACATCCCTACCTTAAGGGATTAAAGAAAGAAGATGGAGAACAGACCAAATACATCTTGGGGGCCTAGAGAGCGATGCGTATGCTAATATTGCAGCCCTAAGGCTGCATGTTGCTGTTAGTATGCATATAACCCTGACCATATGCTTGATCTGCCTTCTGAATCATCGAAGGGCTCGAGAGTCGAGTTATTTTTTTTTGTGTGTGATTTTGATGTCATGAATATTCTAAACAAAAAAATACAACTAGGTGGCTCCTTTTTTACGGGAAAAATTCCCTAAAAGTGGGGAGATTTGTATTTCCTGCATTTGTGACTTCGACGTGACAGATTCAGTACACCCAAAAACATAAGAATTACGCAAAACTCAAAATCCAAAACAATTCTCAATTATTTTTTTTTTGCAGAATTTTGATTGTTGTTTGTTGTTTGTCATTGATTTTGAAGAGTCATTGAACTTCCGCGTATTGTTTGAGAAAAGTACTATGCAAGCCTTGGCTACAACTAGGCATTGATGGACTTACTTATGCGTTTACACGGTCGTCCATCAATGCCTCTTTTGCTGGCTGCTGCAGTAATGTACTATATATGAACAGTCTTTAGTCGTCTTATTTAGTAAAATTGACATTATTAAGATAGAGTTTTCGTTGTAACAAATGGCAACACGGAGTAGTGTTAAGTAGAGTTAGGACAGAATAAAGACAGTACATTAAATGGAAGTGAGTAATTACTTAAACAGTTTTAGATAAGGGTTTTACAGGGTAGGGTATTACCTGGTTGGTTGCCTCGTGTACCTGGTGCGTACATAGTCTGCTAGGATACACTGCGCCTGGTCTTGTAACATTTCTACTGGTTGTGTTTCACTCAGGCCCGGCGTATCTGAACATAAGAAAAGTAATAGTAAGTACACAGAACGCAGAAAAAGGTTAGAAGGGTGATCATAGACCGTTTGCTCAGAAACCGATTTCGCCAGCTCGCCCCCACTATACTTCCACCTAATAGATATAGAGCTAGTGTCCGACCGAAAGTTCGGTTTCGGTTTCGGTTTCGGCCGAGTTTCGGCCAAAAATCAAGTTTCGGCGGCAGTTTCGGTTTCACTTTTGCCGAAACCGAAACTGATTTCGGAAGTTGTCGTGCACGCTCGCCTTACTTCGTTTCTCGCACAGCAGTTCATATCCTATATTGAGAAGTGCAGTTTCCTAAATTGAGATAAAAGAGATTGATGATTCTTCTATATACAAATACAAACCAAAGTATTAATTAATAAGATTTCAAAATACCAATGGGTATTTAATGAAACAGTAACAATTTGTGAATTGATTGTTGATAACTGATAAAAATTTTGCTATGAGAACTTAATTTGAAAAAATATTATTTATATTTTTTATTTTATATTTAATAAATGATTACCTACAACAATATTAATATACTGTGTTTCCATGGCATGTCCTAATTAATGCTGAATAATGGGTAAAATGCACCAAATTTCAGTATTTTAAGGAATTTAAATTTTGACCACGTGAGTTTCGGTTTCGGTCGAAACTGAAGCCACGGCCGAATATTCGGTTTCGGTTTCGGCCGGAAAACCAGTTTCGGTCGGACTCTAATAATAGCCAACCAAACGACGCGACATCAAACAATCGAACTAACCAGCGCTTACACCAGAGAGCAACGACGCAATCAGAACCAAGTAGCCCCCACTGCACTTCCTTCTAATAGATAATAGCCAATCAAACGACGCGACATCAAACAATGGAACCAATCGGCGCTCACACCCGAGAGCAACGACGCAATCAGAATCAAGTTTTGGTCAAGTTATGAGCATTTGCTCACACATAACTGTGGCGCGCCTGCCCCGCCCACAAGGCCCTTCTAACCTTTTTCTGTGGTGGTGCACCTAGTAGGTGGACAAGGCGCGTTGAAATCGCAGTTTTAGTACGCTCTCGAGCTTTTTAAACGTTACATCAAATGCCCCACGTCGAAAATCTAGCGAAGAAGTTTCTTGAATTATGAAAAAACCTGGTCAAGTACGAGTCACTGAAAAAAGTTGTAGGTATTAAGTAGTACTTCATAAAAATCGAGTTACTAATTTAAAGTGGCCCCGTGGAGTTACACGTCCCAGGGCTTCAGCTGCTATTATATAAGTACTTCTTGATTGTACGCCAACGGCAGGACCTACCTTATAGGGGCATTATATATGAAAGGACTGCCAGATCGTATAATTTTATACAAAATCTGTATAATGGCAGACACAATACAGTATAAAAGAGTTTTAATATTGTATTGAGTATTTGATAATAAATAAGTTTGAAAGCACCATACGTTCCTGAGTCTTGATCAACATCAAAGTGATCTTACTTAAAGGAGTTCCTTTATTCTTTTAACTACGGGACCCTAAAAACGGCTTTGGCCAATGGCACATCCGAATAGTCAATGGTCTAGGTATTCGAAGCAGTCTTAATTACTTAACGTCGCGTTGGGTAAAAGGTACCTGATACAAATAAGGCCTGTAGTGCAGAAAAGTCTATTAAAATATATTTACATCAATAATACTTTACACACGCATAGATGACAGTTCTACAACTCGGCAATCTGCACGAGTGGTCCGCTAGAGCATCAGTAGTGGTGGTACTTTTTGAAGGATGAGCTTTTCACTAGCAAACCAGTGAACCAAATGTTCACAAAAAAAAATGTATTTAATTAATTGAGAACTTCGGAGATTTTGTGTGGTTTCGTTTGAAATAATTTCTATTTCACGTGATTTCTCGAAAACCGGAAGTGCTACGTTACTCACATCCGGTTTGTAGTCTTATCAGACTATTCTCAACTTATAACTTAAACATTCTCTTTATCTATCTCTTACGGTTTGGCCGCTGAAACAGCACCACGGACGGACGGACGGACTTGTCTAATAGATAAGAGATAGCGCGTTATTCATTTGTCTTAATTTTTAACGAATTTAAATACGTTATTCTTTGATGTTTTGTTTCATTTAATGTATACGGATCACAATATAACTAATCAAAAAGTTGAATATGACATAACTTTTTAGAATATGCGAATTAAATACTACTTATAACTTTTATGAAGTATAATGTACTAAATAAAGGCTCCTTTTATAGAAGGCGAGAGAAGGAAGAAATGTATCCATCAAAATATATTCATTTTCCAATATTTAATAATATATAAGAGAAGATATGTTAATTTGCTCATTTTTGTTTGTTTTTTTATATTGTTCTTTATCTCTTGTTAATATGCGACTTCAAATCTGACTAGCAATTTAAGATTATTGTTATAGCAATTTAAGCAAAATTTTTAGTAAAATAAATTAGAATGTTGTTCAAGGATCCCATGGAAACACTTGATTAAAGGCTCAGAAATATATATTTTAATATAATATATACTCTAATAACAATATTCCTATAATTTTAGTACTTACATAGGCTTTGTTAAGTCACTATGTTTTTAAAAGGCCTAAGGCTAAGGTTTCAGAATTAGCTCTTTTTAAGTGATTTCTGATAGATTGTAGATTTCTTAATTACTTAGGTTCTAATTAATGGTATATAAGGGATCATAAATTCTAAGTCTTAGAATTTATGAACCAAGGAATAATTCCTTCATTTTATTTAAGTATCATCTTATTCGATTAATTTATCATGATATGAGTGTTTGAAATTAGGTAGGCCTTATTTGTATCACTTACCTTAATATAAGTAAGTAGTTACTTCAAAAAAGGGAGTTGTAGGCTAATGCGCTTACCACACGCACAAGCTTCACCACAGTTTGGCCTGCGCAAGCATCTCGCACGAAAAAACTGTACACTTTGTGCGTTACCACACGGCACAGTTAAGTACGCGCGGAAAATTCAGAAGCGAAATCATTGGCGTGGAAACAATGTTTTCTAATGAAGAAACATTTCTTATGCTACTATTTTTCAAGTGTTTGCTATTAAAAAAAACATGTAAAAACGATAGGATATGTACATAATATGTGCAAGTAGGTAGGTAGTAGGTATTAGGCATAGGTATTTAGTTGCAAAAATTATGTTCTTACCTCTTTCATTTTATTTATCATTCTTTCGTAGTCGTCGTTCTTTTTATTTCGGTCGGAATAATCTTTAGATTTAATTTTCCAGAGTGCAGGCAGAGATTTGTATTAACTAATTAATTCAGACGTGAATTCGCGATTGTAAGTACGCAAATCTACCATTTTTGTGTGACAATGACGAACGACCTCATGAAACGACGAGCGAGCCTCGACACAAAGTACACTCGACTGTGGCTTGAACACTGAACGCCCAACCACACGCACAGACAAGTACGCGCAGGCCGGGCTTGCGCAGGCAAAATTTCAAGCAAGTCGAAAATTGCGCAGGCCGCACTGTGGGGTTGGCGCGTGATACAGTTTTACCAACTACATGCACCGTGTTCCGTGTACAAACCGGCCTGCGCAGGCAAAACTGTGGTGAAGCTCGTGCGTGTGGTAGGCCCATAAGGTTGTAGGATTGTTTTTATTTTTTTGTGTTAATAGGGGCAAACAGGCGTATGCCCCCCCTGCTGGTAAGCGGCCATCATAGCCTGTAGACGCTTGCGATACAAAAAATATCACTTGGGCCGTTGCCTACCCTGACCCAATCACCTACCCCGTGGAGTTGTGGACCCTTAAATCACCGGCAGAAACACAACGCCACCAAAAGGTAGTGTTATTTTACTGGCGTCTTCTATAAGTGGAGGCTCCAATAGAGATGATGACTAATTTATTTTTTCTTCGTTTATCAGGTAGATTATCAAAAAGTATTGGACACGTATTTTTTCTTTTTTCACATAATAGAAACATTGCAGAGGTATATTGATTTGAAAAGTCGCATGAAGTCCCTTTCGTCGTCGTTTTGGTATAATTTTCACTTAAAAGTGAGGTCACGAGATCCTACTCCCAAATTTTGACGCGCTATAACTTTGTCATTTTTTGATTGATTGCCGAAAGAAAAAATACTTGTCCATTATTTTTTAATCATAACTGACGGACTAAATAGAATTTAGTTTACTGTACCACGTCATCATCCCTATTTGAGTAAGATTGTAGTAGGCACATAAGCTAGGTATACTGACCTGGCGAAAATAAGACGATAGCCTTCATGCAACCACACTCACTGCCATCGGGTGCTATTTGACGAAATCGGCACAGAATTTCCTGTTAGTAGATAGATAAAAGATAAATTAAAAAGGAAGTGTAAAGTTAGTTAACCACTGATTTCTAATTTTTATGAATATTAAATAAGAGGCTAAAAGCCTCTTATTATTCTCAGCCTTAGAAGTATATTATATGTGTTTCTAAAACACACGGCGTTGTAGTTGGAAACCATTTTTCATACTTAGTCGATTACGTACTTATAGAAGGAAAGTGAAAGTACACTGCTATTGCTCTATACTTAATCGACTATTAAAAATGGTCTCTAACTACAACAACAAACGCTGTGTGTTTTCTGACACACATAATGAGTCCAAAATAGTATTAAGATTTATACGTACTTGCAACGTATTCAGTTCTAGATCGGCCAGGGGATCTGGGGGCAGCCGTGCTCTTGCGTTGGGAGCCGCGAGCAGTGGTCCCAGGTCCCAGGGCGCGGACCACTGGGCCAGGTGCAACAGGAAGAGATCCTTCCACGCGGCCCGCAGCAGCACCAGCTGGTCGTTGTGTGCGAGAGCCTGGAATGGCGCCAGGCACCGCACCCATCGGACCGCCATGAAAAGCAGGCGTGCGCTTGTTTCCTGCATAAGATATATGTGTAAAAAGAACGCCGCCTTGGAGAACACCAGCAGAAGTGTCGCTTCATGAGGAAAAATCCCATCGAGGCGAACCCTCTGCTTGCGTCCCTGCAAATAGTTACGTTAACCCCCTTTTTTAGTTATAGACTGTATGAAAGTCCTTTCTGAACCTTTAGTTTATATTTACAACCTTGTTTTAAATAAATCGATTTATCCTACAGAGTGGAAAATATCTATGGTTACTCCAGTTCCTAAGACGTTAGGTTCTGAGGTAAAACAGTTTAGGCCTATAGCAATCCTGTCTGTATTCGGCAAACTTTTGGAGTTAATCTTAGAAATAAATATTAGAAGGCAGATTAATATGAATATTAATAATTCTCAACATGGCTTTTGTTCAGGCCGGTCAACTACTACGAACCACATGAATTTTGTTGATTATATCTATCGTACGATGGATGATAAGAGGCAAGTTCATGTGCCGTATTTTGACTTTCAAAAAGCCTTCGATTTAGTGGATAACGATGTGCTGTTGGAAAAGTTTGCCTCGATGGGATTCACTCCAAAACTTCTGCATCTATTTGCTAGTTATCTCAGAGAATGAAAGCAGTATGTAGAGATTGATGGATACCGATCGGAATATTATTTTACGCGCTCAGGCGTGAGCCAGGGTAGTAATCTGGGACCTACTCAATTTCTGATTATGATAAATGACCTACCCGAAGTAGTTGCTTCAGCTAGGTGTCTTATGTTTGCTGATGATCTAAAGCTTTATTTGGGTGTCAGTAATCATATGGATGCTGAACTGCTGCAGCACAATATCGATGCAGTAGCCAAATGGACTGTTGAAAACCGTCTACAATTTAATGAGCAAAAGTGTAGTATTATGATTTTCAGCAGATCCAGTAACTTGATTGACTTTAGATACACGCTCAATGCTAATTCTCTACAGACTGTGAGTGAGATTCGGGACTTAGGGCTTAAACTAGATTCGCGGCTAGACTTATACTAGAAATATGCAAAATTGCGAATAAAATTCTGGGATTTGTAATGAGATTAAGCTCACAATTCAGCGACATTAGAATACCTTTAATTTTGTATAATGCATACGTCAGAAGCAAACTGGAATACAACGCGATTGTTTGGGACCCGTATTAACATAAATACAATGAAATGATTGAGAAGATACAACGCAAATTTCTCAGGTATATTTATAAGTGGTTGTATGGTTATTATCCATATAAGTACCCATCTATATTTGTATCTGGTATGGTGGGGCAGGATACTCTCGTCTCGCGTCGGAAAATCTCTTTGGCTTTGCATTGCCATGTGATCATCCATAATAAGGTCGACAATCCAGTGGTTCTTGCAAATATGAAACTGGTCGTTCCGAAAAGACACATGAGCGGAGCGTTGGGCAACGACGTAGGGGCGCCACGCAGGCAAACAAAAGTTTTTGCGGAGCTTAAGGGAGTCCGTACGCGACGAGTTCAAAATGCACCGACTTCGAGAGCAATCTCTTTGCTTAACGCTGTACATGATCGAATTCCGGAGGCTGACATATTATACCAAAAATTATGTGTTTTGTTATTATTTAATGTCATATTTAAGTTGTATGCATAGTGTTTAGCTGTTAGATTTGTTTTTTTAACCAGTGTACGTTTTGGTTTAACACTGTAAGTATACTGTGTAGTAAATAAATAAAATTAAGTGAGCGCAGCAACGCCAGAATAATGTCCAATAATGTCAGTACCGTTAGGTGACCTTGATCCATCCCATGGCGTATGTCATCAGTGATTTTCAAGAGGGTAGTCTGTGCCCGGGACGGAAACGAGATTGGAGAGGATTAAAAAGGTCATGATGAGAGAGGAATATATTTAATTGGTTATGAACGAGACGTTCGAGGACTTTAGATAAGAAAGGAAGGATAGTAATAGGCCTAAAATCGGCAAAAGATTGAGGATTCGATTTTTTGGGCAAAGGGATGATTTGAGCTTCTTTCCAAGCCGATGGAAAAACAGCGTTTGCTAAAGAGCTATTAAAAAGTAAGGTAAGTATAGGAAGGATTATATCTAGGATAGGTATCAGCATATTACGACAAATGCTATCATTACCTACCGCATTGGAACATATGGATGGCATGCCCTTCTTAACATCACATTCGGTGAATTGTTTAAAGACAAAAGGAGAGTAATCAGGAACTGGTAAAGACGAAAGAAAATTTAAAGTATTAGTCTTGTGTGAATCACTAAGACTAGACGATGAAGAGAAGTGAATATTAAGCGAGTTTATATCGACGTTACTAGGAACAGACTTTTGACGAGCTTTACCAAATCCAAGTGATCTAAGGAAGTTCCACACATTAGAAGGATCATTATTACTGACAGAAGCATGAATATGGCGACGTAAAGCATTCCTACACACCTTGTTGCAGTGTCTTGCTGTGCCTTGTTTTAGTGGAGTCTGTCGGACGAATTTTATATTTACACTTAGCCACGTTCTTTTTGTGCATCAATGCTCTTATATCTGGTGTCAGCCAAGGTGCTGGATGGTGCTTAAGTTTAATGGGACGAAACGGTGCATGTTTATCGTGACGTCTGGTTGTAATATAATTAAAAGCAGACACTTGTTCGTCTACAGTCACGGCATCAGTCACTAACGACCAGTCGACCTCATGCACGTCATTGAGAAACGCATCCCGATTGTAAATGTTGTTTTTTAATAAAATGGTTTTATGTTTTATAGTTGTTTTAATATATTAATTGCAATCACAGGAGGTATGTATTACAATCTTAGCTAGCAGAGAGATGACAGTAGTATTGGTGCGAAACATTGACATTACAGACTAGTAATAACCACAGAGTGGTTTACTAAGTTACATAGATAAAGCTAAATATTATAACAGTAAACACTGACGATGCCGTTAATTATCCAGTAGAGTTCTTAAACACTTAGAACCCACCGTGCCTATCATACCACAGACTTCTACTGCATGTGGGTACACCTGTTTTGTTATAAATAAATTTAAAGCCACTCAAACTTTGCAACGGCACTAGGTTGCAAGTCAAAGCTTTGCATTAGAAGCCACAATTTTGACCGGACCTGCTCAGGGAGAAACAGTGATTGTACCACGTATTCCATTTATACCAAATTATCTCCCCTTTGAATTCAAAAGGCTCCAGTTTCCCCCGAAGGTCTGTTTTGCCGTGATCATAAATTAGTTGCAGAGGCAAACTCTCCAATTTGCCGGAGCAGGCCTACGACAGGACTGTTTCTCCCACGGTTAATTCAACAAGTATAAAGTTGTTGAACAATTCATCTGTTTAATTATCACCTTCTACCGTACACCTTCTGTTTAATAATTAGTTATCTGACTTTCAATGACAAATTCACAAGAAATTTGAGGTAAATAAGAACATGATAAGCGTATCAAAAAGTGGTAAAAGTTTGTGAATTTTGTGATATGGAATACCAGTTGCGTTATATTCAAAGTGTTTAAGAATTCTACTGAATGATTTTCTTACTGGATCGTCAGTGTTTACCACAGTATTTCTCTCTTTCAAAGCACTTCAACATTTGTAATTGGTCGTTATCAGGCTTTTTACTGTTACTGTAGTGCAGATACTTTTACTAAGGGCAATTTAAGTGCTTTTATCTTAACGTTCCCCTTGGGTCTATTCGGAATATTATGTTGTAACTCTTCGATCCTTATTTTTGCCAAAATCAAACGGAATTTAACAGTTTTGCCTAGTCCAAAAATGTGTTTTTTTAGATTCACCTTTTAATGAATCACAGTAATTATTACTACTAATACTGACAAATCTTTTAAAGCTATCAAATCGTTAAGTAATCTTTTTACCGCCTAATAGAACTTTCATCCTTTTTTTTAGTCTAGGAAGTGCCATACGCACCCATCAACCACCGCGGAAGCGAGAAGAAGTTAACTGGCACATAGTACTTCCAACCTGGACAATCTTTTAGGTTTAAAATGTTGTAAGTTTCTCTGTTCTGCTCTGAAACCGATCTGAGCCACATCAGGAATTATGTATATTTTTCAATATAACTGGATCTTGAATTTGCGCAATGAATGTCTTGCTTTTTTTTGACATGTATTTATGGTTTCAAATATAAAACTACTTCCTTTACATTTTTAAATAAATAGTAAGCAGATTGATGAAAATGCAGATTTGGTAATAAATTGCTGCCTAAATAACTAAGTCCACACGGATGAAGTCGCGGGCAAAAGCTAGTATGATATATGGGTCAGGCCGTAAATTTTGCCACATTAGTTATAACATAACTCTCCGCCACATTTAAAAAAAAAAGTACGGTAATTACATTTTTTTCAATAACAGAATCATATTTCCTCACAAATGGTGAATCGCGATCAATACATATATTTAAATATCTTCAAAACCTTAGAATTTTATAAAATATTTTGCTACAAAAAGCGATGAATTTTTCGTGAAATACGCTTATCCGCCCCGGTAGAGGTGCACTTTGAGCATCAGTAAAATCAAAAATAAAAATCTTTTTGATAGTCTGTTTGCTTTTACGCTATACAATAATAGTTAGCTAGCCACATTTTAAATATCGTTTCCTATTACCTAAGAAATTTCATAAATTTTCACTCATTTTTGAAAAACGTAAAATCCATTCCTTTGCGCTACTTTTTATTGCGCAACTAATAAATGCCCATTTGGTTGTGTTTAAAAAATAGCAGTATTCAAGTCTGAGTAGTGGCAACAACGAACATACTTTGTCTGTGGTCAATACGCTGTCAGCGGTCATATTTTTTTCAGTCCAACATCAACATCGTTTGAAAGAAGGAAGTGTCATATTTTTTGCGGAGAGTGTTTTTTGATATATCACGGTAAGTTTTTGATTTATATCTATACTTATTATTGCGCACGATTTAATGAAATGTTAGACATCTTTCAAGGCTTAATTTACATTAAATAATAGCTTATTTATCAAGTTATAATGGGTTTTGTTTGCGCAACAGT